AGAAATAGATTTTTTAAAGCGTTTAGCATGAAAAGTTCAAGTTGTCAATAAAAAATGTAGTGATAAGTTATTTGGGATGGATATATTTTAATATGATAGCATGAAAAACATTTCTGCATAGTGTTTTGGAATTATAAAGAATAATGATTTTGATGTTATGATACAGAACTGTTTAAACTTTCCATCTTCGAAAGAAAAAATCTCAATTCTAATTATTATGTATTTGCAAAAGTTATGTTTTTAAGCCTAAAAATCCTTATCCGTAAATATAGATTAGATTAGGATATCATTTTGTATTTTTTGTATTTAAATTAGCATAATAGTATATATGTAATGTACACAAGATAAAAATAATAACAAAGATCCGAAATTCCAGATTATAATGGTGTTTTTTGATATTCCTTTAAAAATAGATAGATTGTTTTATATCAGAAATATGAAATGAAAAGGAACAAAAATATCAATAATTAAATTTTCTGTGAACAATAAATTTTTCATAAGTTACTATAGGATTACTGCCAGCATATCGATTGTTGTCTGAAAACACCTTTTCAGACCATTGTCTAAGATTGATTATTGAGTGGTATTTGAAAATGAAATCAATTATGCCTAACATAAAATCATTGGCTTACATTATAACGGACCTATGACCATGTAAGTATTTAATGGAAACAGTATGAATGTAAATTTATTTTAAACAGTTCACCAAAAATCATAAATCATAAGATAAAACCACGCTTTAATATAAATACTTTATCAGCCAATTTATTGCAGTGGATAAATGAAAACTTTAAAACAATAACGAAAAATAAATCGCTTAAGATTCATTTCATTTGCCGCAGAAACGTTTGAAACCAAAAAATAAATAAAATTATGAAGTTAGATATATATGTATAAACATTGGAAACAAAGCAAAACCCAATGACAAAAATTAATTAAGAATGGGTCTTAAGACTATAATTTTATAGTTAATATTTAAGAAAATATTTGCAGGTTTTGAGTTAGAATTCGATTTTCATATAGACTAGAAACAAATCAATATTTGACAAAATAAAATTTCAATAAAAAAGAAAACAGCCACACAGAAAATTTAAAACCATCACTGCAGACTACTACGTCTATCACTAATACACGATATGAAATATATAAATATACAACAACAATTACAAAATCAATTAAAAAAAATTCCGCAAGACTAAAATCAAAAAGCTTATTGAATAATAATTAATTAAAAGGATGAAAAGTTATACCTTGTTTAGGTAGTAAATTCAACGCCTTTTTTTGTAAGCAAATTCCATAATTGCGCTCTTTGTTGAGCCATAATGACATTAAAATATTAGACGATGGTAAAAATAAATTGAATATGGAACAAAATGTTGCTGAAGAAATCCCACTGAACTGTCTAAAAATCAGAAATGATAGATTCTATGCAAATGTTTATTTGATTATTTATTTTTAAAAAATTCAATAAAAATTTGCATCAATTAAAAAAAAACAATTGACAAAATAAAAAATCGTTTGTGCAGAAGAATGACAATACACATAGTACGAGGATGTCATATTGAGATGTATTAGAGATCAATAAAGGAAGCAAATGATATTCGCTAGAAAAAAAAAGGATGGAACAGTCCTCATGAACGCAAGCGAAGTAAAATAATTGCGCATCTTCATGGGCGCAAAAGAATACAGGGAAATACTATCATAGATGTTCGATTTTGTCATCCATATTTAAATTTGTAATTAATATTTTTTTTTAATATTAAAAGTCTATTAAAGTTATAACTAATTAAAAATTTTATTAATTTCGCCAGTGAAATATTGTTCCAAAGTGAATTATTAAAGCTTTTTTTTTGTTTAAGCTGTCAAATGACCCTGACCGGATGTGAGCAGATCGTATGCAATGCGTATAAAATGATCAAGTAAGTTCAAATTATACATTTTTTTTATGAATTGCAATTTTTCAACAGCTTTAGCACTTAATTGAAACAAAACTTGATAGTATTAAAATTTATTTCTCTGCTCACGATACAAAAACTCCTACAAATTGCAGGATTTTTTATAAATATCTATATTTAAACTCGATTATTTCAATCAAACATTTATTACTTACTTATGATCTGCCATCAATACCAATTCAACTTTATATTGCAAATTTATTCTCACCTTTAAGAAAATAGCAAAATATACTTTAAATAACTTTGAATAAAGCAAAATTTGCGCTAAAAATTATTTTATATTCATCCCCCAAATGATAATCGTCATAACACAATGGAAATTAATTGTTTTTATAATATAATACTATCTCTGCAATATCATTTTAATGACGCATTTTATTGTGCTTTATTTAATTATTGATAATATTAATGGAAAATAGAATCACATGCAGTCAAATGACAAACTTTATGAGCACATTCATTTTGACGAATGACTTCAAAAAGCTGATCAGATTGCATGCTTTATAAAGATGCATTTTTTTTACATGCATCGATGACTTCATTAACTCATACATGCATCGATGACTTCACTAAATTTCCTTATTCCTGTAATTTTATTTAATCTAGTCTTTTTTTTTTTGCTTCAAATAAAATTTATTTCGCAGTTAAATTTATAAGTGTCATTATATATTAATGCATTTTCCGCATTGATTGCAATTCTGTGTTTTCCATTTGCAACTAAAAACATTTTGCAACATTGAAATTCAAAAAACACTGAGATTTCCACGTAATTATGGCTTATTTTCAATGCAATAAATAATTGAAATTGAGGTGGAATGAAACGTTTCTGAAGAAGATTATCGATAGGCAAAATGGTAACTTATTCTTACTGTATTGTTGCATTACTTCTAATATTACCTTTAAACTGCAACGGAGCAAATACGACGAGTATATTCGATATACGAGACGAAAAATATATGACTGCAAAGTATACTGTAGTTTTACTGTTTCCTGTATTCTTGTTATACGGTATTATTAGCAATATACTAATGGCTATCGTATGCTTCAGTCGAGGCAATCTTTACGGTCGTGCATTTATTCTTATCACACTTCAAATTATTATTTGTAATTTGATAAGCTTTATTCCACATATGATTGTTCTTTTGCCGGAAATATTACTGACTAAGAACAGTTTATACAGTAAGTTATTTTATTTGTATAATTATTTAAAGATAATGTTAGAAACGAATGATTAGAGTACCATTCAAAAAAAAAAAAAAAAGTAGCAATGCAGAATCAAAGAGTACATTCAATAATAGGACGATGGATACTCCCGAAAAATTGATCAGAATTTGAGGAGTTTTAATTTAAAATGAATGGTTTGATAGGAGAGTACAAGATGATTATACTATTGCTGAATACAACTGCCGAAATAAAATTAAAAAAAAAAAAAACATTTAATAGTATCACAAAATACAAACTAAAAAAAAAAACATGAAATCAACATAAAAAAAGACCGCCAAAACATCAATATGGAACAAAAGGAAAAAGAAAACATACGCAAAATCCCAACAAAAGTAATAATTAAATCTCAAAATAAAAAATAATAGGAACTAAATTTATAAATAATAAATGAATAAGAATCTGTAAAATATTCATTAACAAACTCAATAAAAAAATATCAAAACAAATAAGTTAGAAAAGCAATAAATAAAAAAAAAAAACAAATGAAAAATATCGAAAATCCAGAGCAATTTAAAAAATAGGGTAAACTAAATGAACTAAAATCCACCAAGTTAATTGTTTTTACAAGTTGATTGTTTTTTTCTTTTTTAAAGAAAGGTTAAAGGTCTCCCATCCCTTTATAGTGGAGTTTGTTTACAACAAAGAGGAATATGTTGTATTCTATTGGAAACAATGATAACTATCTGAACAAAGACTTTTTTTACACAAACTATAAGCTTGGTTATAGGAAACAATTTAAGCACTGAACATGAGCTAACTTCTTGAATGGAAGGATTTACATGTGAAATGGTATATCATATGTTTACATATATCTAACTCAAAGGAATTTGCATATGAATTAGAAATTAATTGAAATAAATCAAATTTCTATATTTTAATTATTTTGACAGTTAATTAAAATACTTTGGTTTTCTCGACAAGTAATCCATTTGATTTCTAATATCAGTGCAATTTAATCGGAAGTGTCACCACTGATTTCGAACTCATAGTTGGTGACAGTTTAAGTACAACGTTATAGATATCCGTGATATTTGACATTGCTTCCATCCAAATACTTTAAAATTTGTTCCAATAAACTATCTTGTCTTATGTCTTAGGTTCCAAAATATGGATTAACCGTGTGTTCTCGACGATCAATACATCTTCATTTTACGCCGTATTACATTTTGCATTTTTATGGACGCTAAATCGCTTCCTGTCTATTATTTTCCCGAAATTCAATGTACTATTCGAATCAACAAAGCTATATTTTTTAGTCATTTTCGTATGGTTAACAGTTTTTGGTATGTCAAAAAAATGATTCATCTTATATGGAGACCATCAACTGCTCAGTCATGTCATGCAAAGTTTTGATAGCTATTACCTTTATGTGATATTTTTGGTAGCTTTCGGAATATCATTTCTCACCTATTTCATTTATTGTAATTACAAACACAAAGTTCCAAATTTATGACCTATTCATTTACTATTATTAATCTTGAAATTTTCAGCAATTTCATTTCTGGATTTTAATTACTGTTCTAGAAGTTTTGAAGTTTCAACCTTACTCTGGACAGCAAACTGTACAGGGCAGTCAAATAATGGTGGTAAACTTTTTTTAAGGTTAAATTTCAGCATTTTTTTTTTGAATTTTTTAGAGCAGTTCTGTGTAATTCAAATAATATAATAAAAGTGTAAACATAACAAAAAGTTAAAAAATTAAGTTATCATTTTTATTTTACAGTGGGAGGCGTTGCAATAATTAAAATCCATTAATTACTCTTATAAAATTTTAGTTTTCGTCATATTTGGGTGATTTTTTTGTCAATTTCAATGCTCGTTATGTATTTTGCAATCCTTTGCAATATACGACATCGTCGAATTTTAGTTATTAACGACTCACGAAGTTGGTGCTAATGAATTGTTTTCCTTTTTTGTCACACAATCAGCAGTGTAAAATTCTACATTTTCACCCAACATTGAAAACAAAATTTGTACAAAAGTTTTACAAAATTTACAAAATCTTTTTTTTTTTTAAAAAAAATTTACAAAAAAGAATTTAAAGAACATTTAGCAATGAATACAAGGCATGGTACGAGTAGGCTAGAAACTGCCAGATACGAACGATCGGTGTTAATTCAAGCAGCACTGACCTGTGGTGTATTCATAATTGGAATCATATTAATCAATTTTCTACCAAAACTTCTGACAAAAATTTTCAGTCAAGAAATCATAATTCCAGTGAATATTTTCATCAATTCATTTCTGATTTTAGGTCGTACTGTATTGCCGATGACCCTTTTTGCGACTAATAAACATGCCCGTAAGCAACTCTATTTACTTCTGAAGATTAGTTAGGTAGACTGAAAATCTAGAAATTGATAAATAAGACTGATAGCCTACTTTTTAAGATTGATAAAACAATTGTTGCCACAATGGCAAAACTATAACCTAACGAACAAAGGCTATTGTTTTAAATGATTTTAATCCACTTTGTAACCTTAACACCCATAAAATTCCTCCCAATTTTCTTCCTTACAAAGCCACTGATTATAGTTCCTTGTTTGATACTGATTATTATAGTAGATTTCTGTGTTTGGCTCAGTTGCGAGGTGTCTAGTTTTCTTGTATCTTTAAATGTTTTATAATTAAGTTACATTTGTGTATTATGTATCAATTCATTATTGTAATGTTGTATAATATTTATTGTTAATCTAAGTTTGAGGTTTGAATAATAAAGTATTTCACGAAGACTCCCACAGTACACGTACATAGAACGGAACCAGTACAAATTCAAGATTCTACCAGTATCGAGGACCAAGAAGTCAACGATCTGAACCATCAAGAAAAGAAACCTACTTTGTTTCACAAGGAAACAGGGCAGTAAGAAAGAAATTCTAAATTTGCTTTTACAACAATATTTTACATTTCACAAATCAGATAAAAGCTACTAGATAAAGATACTAGATAATTTGAGAAATGATTATGATAAAAAGAAAATGAATTCGTGGTACATTTGATATTTGGCGGATCAATTCTATTTCTTAGATCTGTATATGATCTTATTTTAGAAGCATTACCTTCTTTTCTAAGTACTATCAATAGTTAAATGATGTATGATATGATAAAATCATAGAGATATTTTTGCAAAGTGTTAAAACTTGGTTTTTGAAGAAAATTTCTTGCATTCAATGCTTCTCGATGCGCAGTGCATTCCTTTCGTTCATTTCGTTCATCTGAAGTAATAATACCGCTTATTTGCTACTTATTTATGTAATACGGTTAAGTTAGTTTTGAAATATTTTCACTATTCAGAAATTATATAAATAAATAAAAACAATATTTGTTATTTAAATAATTTTCTGATAATGGATAACACGTCAGAGTTACATGAATTTCTAACTTCTAATGCTCATATTGATATTTAAAAGTTGATTATTATTTAATTTCTGTCAACTAAACTCATGTTAAAATGTCTCTTATCTTGAAGAAGGCATATTGCTCTGTAAATAATACAATCGCTTTAATTTGGCACTGAAATAAATGAATAAAGCGATGAAATGAAAAGTGTAAACAGAAAAGATTGTATTTTGTGCTAATTCATTTCCTACATTTTACAAAAAATCTGTTATCACAATTAACAAATTCACAGACTTTACAGTTAAAATTAATTCAAATCTTATGATACTTTTGATAAATATGCATCAAAATTTGGATATTATGGAATAGAGGCCTTAAATGTAATCTGTCAGCGTAATGCTTTGCATTAATTGTGAAAGGTACTGCATTTCAAGAAAGTTTAAATGAAGAATTCACTGATGACCCTCACAATGTAAAGCAAAAGTAATTGTTACACAACAAAAAAGCATCTCTAATCAAGTATTTGTTTACCATTAAATTTACTAGAATTGTTTAATGAAAGCGAAATTATGACTGAATCGAAGAAATTATTGTTTGCTTTTATTTATGTAATATTTACGAACATAAAACATTAACAAATTTAGGTTAATTTTTTACAATATTCCAAGTAATATTATCATAAATGACTCATTTATGCTAATATTATTACATCATTTTATCAATACTCATTTCGAAGAATTATGTCGCCGACTTTTTTCTTCTCGAATTAGCTTGATCTTAACTCTGTCCAGAAACATGTTGACCGGGTCACTTCGTCTAAAAGTATCATTACAGGCGCAAATGTCGTTTTTTCTTTACCTTGAATCTTTTTGTTCAAAATACAAATGAATCATTATTTTGATCTATCCAAAGCGCATTATATGACTTCATTGAAAAAAAAAAAAATTCATAAAAATTAAACATCCAGTTCCATTTCAATTTATTAAATCATACACTTTCTTACTTTTATCACAGAAAAAAAATGAATTGAACTGAAAATGAAAAAGTTTAACATCATAAAATACTTCAAACAAATCAGTTACCGTTATGATTGTTTATGTTCCATTACCGCAATAATAATAATATCAAACAGATGTGTATGAATTATCAATTATCGTGACAGTTTAAAGTTCAAAAATTTTCAGCCCAAATGTAGGAATAAAAACAAATAATTATGGTTCTTATTCATTTCAATGATAATCAAATTTTTCATACATTCTTATAAATCCACTGCAAACATTACGAGAGGTATAGTTTTTTAATATTATTGAATTTTTAACAAGCTCTGCTTTTTTAAAGTCTTCAAAATTATTCTATTTTAAAATCAAAATTGAAACTGCTAGCAGAATTAATATAAAATACACGACTGAAAATAATTTACCTTAACCATCGATAGCAATAACAAGCATAAGTGTGTTTTTAAGTCATAAACATAAATTAATAAATGACAAAATGAATGATAAAATTTTTGACAATTAATAAATGAATGACAAAATAACCATGCAGATTCTCACAAAAAGAAAAAAAAAAAGAAACAAAATTTATTAAAATTAAACCGATCATATGCAGTTAGAATGCGGTAATAAAGAGATAGATTATAGCTAAACCTGAATGCCTCATCCGGAAGTCGTTATGTGTTAGGAATGAAATCCAATTTTTTTGAGAGTTACCACTCTCAAAAAAATATTTTCAAACATATCATTTTAAGCTTCAGATTATTACTCTTATCACTACCATCTATCTATCTATTATTATATGCTGTTTGTGTTCTAGTACTATAAGTACTGACTATATTTCTTAACCGTCCAATTCTAAATTGTAACCAATTATATAAATGATATTTTATGATATTACGCGATTCCTTATTGTAACTGAAATATACAGTTGGCAATAGAGCGCAACTAAATAAAACAAAACAGTTTAAGAAAATTCTTGCTGCTAAACAAACTTCCTGACTGAAAAATTCAGTTAAAATGGGTGGCAAAAAGTTAAAAAGAATTATGCCAATTTCCAATGTGCCACAATGCCATGCAGCTTGAATTAACATTGACCATTCATAATGACGAATTTTCACTGCATTTCTTTCACGTCTGGCACCTGTTGTCAATTTTTAACTATGAAATAATTTATGAATAGAGAAATGATTTATGATTTAACAAAAGTATAAAGTAAAGTATAAATTTTCGAAGTGAACTTTTCAGTAATTAAATAGTTACATTTATTGTAAAAAGAAGGAATAATTTTGTAACACAAACTTTGATTACTATTTATCGTAATATGACGTTTATGACGTATGTTGCAAAATATTGCGATATACATAATAAACATTATATTAGGTATACACAATGCCCAAAAATAACGTATTCTAAAAAAAAAAAAAAAATTTAAAAGAAATTAAAAAATGATAATATGAATGTAATTAAAAGTTGCTGATAGATTATTGTAGAATAAGAAATTTTTTGATTGTAATAAAATTACAAAATTTTGTTAATAACTACAAAAGTGATATTAAATGTTAACCTCCACCATATATCGCCTATTTCACCAGATTTTCCACAATTTCCTTCCCAACTTAAGTTCCATGTAAGAAATCGTCTAGTGCAATAATAAAAATCGGCCGATGTAATTGCTGAAAATTAGCATTAAATATTAGCAATATTGATAAGAATCAAGAAACTTATCAATAAATCAATTTTGATAAAACAGTTTCTTTTTTTTTTTTTTTTTTTTTTCAGGATCTACCTTATTTTAATTATTTTTAATATAATGATTGTATAACTGAATAGTATTTAAAGATGATTGTACATAATGGAATTTCTATTTAAGGGTGAATTATGAATGATTTATATTGCTAAATCTATAAATTATTTAAAAAAAAAAGATAGAAAATATTATTTGAATAAAAAGATAGAAAATATTATTTCAATAAAAATTATTTTTACAATTACATGAATGATATTTTAATGATTCATACCTAAAGCTGATAACCATACAAAAGCGAACATAAAATATAGTCTTATTGACTCGAAAAACGAATAATATTTTGGTGAAATTAGTGCCACAAAACGATTCAGCGTTAATAGAAATGAAAAATGAAGTACGGAAAAGAGTGAAAAAGTATTGAAAGTTGAGAATGAGTGGTTAATCCATGTTGTTTCATTCACTAAAACATAAACATATTGGTTATTAAAGAAAATTTTGTTATTGTAATTAAAAAATTATCATTTAAAGTAAATATGAAAGTTAAAAAAAAAAAAGTTCCTCATAAAAAACTGGCATCACATATATTTAAAAATGTTATGAAAAAAAAATTTTTTTTAAATTTTCTTTTAAAGAAAATGGAAAAAAATGATTGAATTTTGCATCTCAAATTTGCTATTTTGGATGTATTTGTCGCAGTTTATGTAATGCAGAAAAATTTATTATTAATAAGATAGAAATGTTTTAATGATTTCTTTTTTTATGAGAAATATGAAATTGTTCAATATTCTTTGCTATCAGTGATATCAAGAATTAAAAATGGCGCATTTTAATGGTAATTTCACTAGTGACAACCTCATTGTTTCAATATTATTCTTAAACAAATTATTTAAATTAATATTTAACTGACATACGAAAGTAAATAAATGGTATCTGAGAAATGCAAGTAAAACAACTTTTACCATATGAATTGTTTCTAGCAGTTAATATTTCAGGTAAAACAACAACTATTTGTGGAATAAAAGTTGTCAAATCAGAAATAATCAGTTGTGATGTGATAAGAATAAATTCACGACTGTAATGTTTGCTTTGTTCTTTACAGAATAATACAGCAGCCATTAGTGTATTACTTATAATACCATAAAATATGAAAATGATAAAAAATAGAAGTGCCACAAATTTTGCAGTCTTGTGATTTTCATCTGTTATATCAATTGAATCTGGCATATTTCTTTCCTGATATGTTGATTAGCAAAAATGATACAATTATATAATATGAATGTGATAGTATTTTAGTAGATTTTAATAGAAAGAAATTTTAAAACAGGTAAAAAAAAAAGAAAATTCAGAATTTTGAAATATAAGCTACAAAGATTTGTGAGTTCAAATTTCTAAATAGTATAAATACAATCGTCAATGATGAGAAATGCAGTTAATTATTTACGTAGCGATTATAATTTGATAGCGAAATGAGTTTTTCCGCTCCTTTGCTACTGTCATAGAAACTGCAAATAATAAATGTTTCGCTTTCGTCATTGTTTTTATTTTGTATTTTAAATTGCTCTTTCTCTGAGCTTAATTTTGCATGTGATAAATTGATTTTACTACTATTATAGCTAATTCATTTTATATGTAATTCCTCTTCTTTAATATATAACTCTTTTAGAAGTAATCAACCAAAATGCGCGATATAAATCAGATTAAATTCAACGAATAATTAAGTAATCATTATGTAAAAAAAAATAGATTGCAAAATTTGCTAATAATTATTGTGTAAAAAAAATAGATTAAAAAATTTGCTATCCTGAAAATTTCAATTAATCTTCCTAAAATGCTATTTCTAGATTTCATTGATAATTTCAATATTTCCTATGTTACTGAATGACGAAGCAACTCTTTTGGCTACTTTCACAGTAGGCAATGATATCTCGAAATGATTGCAATGCATTCCGTATCCGTTTAAATAAGTATTGCTTAGTACGAAGTAATTATTTCCTCCACATTCCAAATTTATCACAAAATTCTTCGAATAAAATATATATATCAACAGAGTGAATAAAATATATCAACGATTTTTTGTATTAAAAATAAAACATAAATGAAATTAATGCCGAACTGTTTAAAACAGAACAAAGAAGACAAAAAAGAAAGAATTACAGTTGAAAATTTCTAATTTGAATATGAAAAAAAAAAAAAAAAAAACATGTTAGTTATATATTTTTCTGTTTTAAAATGAAATCACAGAGTTGAACAAGATAAAAAAGAAGTTTGAAACCATCTCTTAAACTTTAATCATGTTCGGATACATGACTTTCTTAATTTCAGAAACACGATACTACGAACTGTAAGTCAATTAATTTCTCTCGACAAAGAGAAAATCTTCACTCTTTGCAACTAAAATAGAATTACTTTTGTGCCGAAAGTATACTTATTTCTGCTGACAGTATATTCATTTCTCCAGTACTATGATCTGAGTAAAATCGTATTCGATTAATTGCTTCTTACTTTTGCTGTTATAAAATAAATCATTAAATTTTTATTATAAATCAGATCATTAAGTTTTTCAGATTGTCGAAGTTCAGTTTTAGCTTTCGCCGAAATTGGAAACGTAAAACTTTAGTGACGGAGAGTTTGAATTTCGGAAAAAAAATGATTTACCTTTATTTACCAAATCTATATGATTAAGTGTTTCAACCTCTCTTTTCAGAGCTTAATTTGCAAATTATGAATTAATTTCGCTATTCAACTAGTTAAGCTCTTATGACAACTTATTTTGCTTGTTGTATAAGCTTCTCAAAAGTAATCAACCAATCGTGACGATATAAAATGAAATAAATTGAAAACAATTAGCCAGTTATTGCGTAAATGAAAGTAGATTGGAAAATCGCTATCTAACTTAGATTCAACTCCTCCAATGCAACATCATTTCAGTTGTTTATTTCTGATAATCAGTAAAAATGATATCGTTCAGGAACACTACTGCCAATAGCAATTCAAACTTTCTGAAAAGTTTTTGTCACCAAAATGAAATAAATCATTGCCTTCTTTTTTTTTTATTTCCTATCAATAGATTTCGATAAAAAAGGATGCATGGCGCAAATATCAAATATAGTGAATTGATCAAAATATAGTTGATCAAATTCTACAACAAATATAATTTTTTTTCATGTTTAAGTCATCCGAAAAAGAACCAACTGATTAAGCGATTTATTTACATCAAATTGGAAACTGGACAACTTAAATTAAAAGATAATTATTTGTTGAATACAGGAATTTATCGAAATCTCAATTACCACTTTTTATTAAATCGATTAAAAATGATTGTGGTTGGTTTTTCATAAGTGTATAATTTATTATTATTTCAAATGTTTAAATTAATTCATTAATATAAAATTTGACGAGTTTTTTTCGTTGCTATTGAACGAATATTATAAGCTTAATGGCAAATGCGTAACAAAATTAACAACTACGTCGATGAACACGTTATGCTTACGTGAAGATGATTATCTCAGACGCGCAAATAATCCTACGTAATTAACAAATATTTTTCAAATAGCTAAAAAGGAATAATTGCTAATTACAAATTCATCCAGAAACACTGCTATTTCAGTGGTATAAAAATTCTTCAAATTACATTTTCAAGGATACGGTAAAGATACCTTGAGGAAATACGGAAGGATACGGTAAAACAGCGATTTTTATTTCACTCATATTGCCGTTAATTTATTTTGCCTTATATCTTCAACTGACTAATTACTTCTGAGAGACATATAAAACAAGGAATATAAATTGTTATGGAAATGAAATTGGTTGAGTAGTTAAGTAAATTTATAAATAGCAAATTAAGCTCAGAAAAAATTGTTGCAAGTATTTGATCCTACAGATATAAGCAAGTAGCTGTGATATTATTATTATTATTATTATTATTATTGGCAGTTTTATAAAATAGCAAAGAAAGTAAAAATCTCATTTCGCGAATAAATCACAAACGCTTCTTAAAATTATAATAATCTTTCTCCATCGACTACTTTAACTATTTCTCTAATTTAAACTTGCAAATTTTGTCAGCTGGTATTTCAGTAAGCTGAAATTTTAAACAATTAACAGGATGCTTGGTCGTTTACACTGTATTATTGTATTATTTCTGATATTACCCTGTAATTGTCACGAAATAAATGTGACAGATGTATTTGATATAAGAGATGAAGATCACATGACCACAAAATTTGTAACAGTTTTACTTTTTATCATTTTCATACTTTACGCTATTATTAGTAATACTCTAATGATTATCGTATTATTCTGTAAAGGACAAGATAATCATTATAGTCGTGAATTTATTTTTATTGCATTACAACTGATTATTTCTGATTTAATAACTTTAATCCCACAAGTGGTTATTATTGTACCCAGAATATTAAGTGCTCAAAACAATTCATATGGTAAGAGTTGCTTTATTTACATTTCTCAAATATTATTTATTTTGATATCAACTAAAATATTAATTTAAATAGTTTCTTTAAAAGATGATATTGAAAATGAGTAATTATTGCTAATGACATGTAGCAAATATATTCAATTTCTAATAATAATTACAAAATAATAATAAATGATATATGGTCACTTTTGCATGTAAGGATTTTTTAAGTATATTAAAGAATTTCATTACAACAAGCAAGGAGAAAAAAATTTTTTTTAAATAATTAGTTTGCTTATGTTTTAGCAAATGAAACGACGTGGCTGAACCGCTTGTTTTCAACTTTAGATAGCTTTTCATTCTTTTCTATGCTTCATTTTTCATTTTTGTTGACACTGAATCGCTTTGTGGTGCTAATTTTACCCAAATATTGCTCGTTTTTCGAATCAAAAAAACTGTATTTTCTAATCGCTTTCATGTGGTTATCAGCTTTTGGTATGATTCATTCCTATATAATCAAATGATTTCTTTTCTTAGACAATAAATTTATATCTTTTAAGCAACTGGATTTTAAAAATCGAATTTCATCAAAGCTGATTCATTCATATTCGATTTATTAATTCTTGTATTTTAACATATTTAGTGGATTTTCAGCGATCATGTTTCTCGATTTTCAATTTTGCTTCAGAATATTCATTGTCTCGAATTTGAAATGGAGCCTAAATTGTACAGGAACAAATGGAAGCCTAATATGGTGGAGGTTACCTTTTAATATCATTATTATAAATTTCATTAAGCCTTGAATTTAAATTTTAAACTTTAGACCACTAGATCATAGATTTTCTCACGAGATTTTTTTTTCCATTGATGCTTATTTTGATGAACTTGACATTTTATTTTTACCATTTTGCTGCTGTAATTAGTTTTAAAACAACTATTTTTTTTTAATGTTTTAAAACGACTATTTGTTTATTATTCTTATAGGATACGTAATTTTTGGGCTTTGTCCATTCCTAACGTTATGTTCATTATGCAAATTGTGATATTCTACTGCATACGTCGCAAAAGGCATTTTAGTATAAATAACAATCAAGATCAAAGTTTGTACTACCAAATTTTTTTATCTTTTTTCATAATATATGTTCATAAGATCTATTAATCGCTCCAAAAATCATTTCAAAAATTTGCTATAAAAATTATTAAATTTCCAAAAAATTTTTCATCAATTTTAACTGATTCCATCAATCAATTAATATTTTCAGGAGTTACACATTTCAAATATGAAAAAAATGCAACAAAAATTCCTCATTATGAATGGTCGATGTTAATTCAGGCTGCATGGCACTGTAGTGTATTGGAAATTCAAATCATTGTTTTTATATTTCTCTTTCCAATTGTCCGTAGTATTTTCGGCAAAGAAGCTGATATACCATCGAGAATTTTCATAAATTGCTTCATCATCTTCAGTTGCTCCATATTGCCCACTATTCATTTTATTTACTGTAAGCAGTCGCATAACATTATAAAACATCATTTATATGGCTGGTTGAGATTGAGAATTGGATTGTTAAAAAATAAGGTTAACATACTAAAACATACGTAGCAGTGTGACAGTAGCATGACAGGTAATATTAGCCTGGATGATGTAGCAGTGTGACAGTAGCATGACAGGTAATATTAGCCTGGATGATGTAGCAGTGTGACAGTAGCATGACAGGTAAAATAGTAGCCTGAAGTATAAAACGATATGTATAGATGTATTTTTTGACAATATCTCTTAGGATCTAAATTTCGATCTTTTAATTAGAATATGCTATATGTATTTGATTCTCTTAAAACTTCTGACATATACAGTGATAACTGATTATTTCTATCATACCATCGACAGATAAGCATAATAGCTGCTTGAAATTCTCACTAATATGATCGGTTTAATATTAATAAATTTTTTGCTAATATTTATATGTTTGAAATAAAATATTAAAATCGACATTTGCCATATCTAGAAATATTTCTTGATTTAAAGCTTTGTATTTATTAATATATTAGAAATAAATTCAATTGTTTCGATAACTGTATTTTATATCAGTGATATCGAATTCTGACATAATCATTGAATAAACTAATAAAGTCAATTCAAGGTGTGATTATCACTCACAAATTTCAAAATGATATATCAGTTTAATCTGATTCTATGTATTGATACTATGTTGTTTTTACATTTCTGTTAACAGTTTTCATTTTTATTAAGAAATAACGCACTTTTGAAAACTCTCAAAGCACAGATTATCAAAAGTTGAATAATATTCAAGAAAAGAGTAATGGCTGTAATTAATTTATAAAAATTTGTGGAAAATCTGACCCTTATCAAGAAATGAATTAGTATTGTAACCATATTTGAAGTTTTTTGAATCACATTGACACATATATTTAATTTGTCTCCACAACATATGCATTTAGTATTATCTCTTCAATAATTAATGAGTAAATTTTATCACACACAAATTATATTTGAAGTAATCGATCAGAACTCACTTATTTCTGATTGAGTTCTGATCGAACCATAAATCATTTATGGCTATCAAAGCATAAAATCATTTCAATGACCGTTTTCATCACTTATAAAAATAAGTGATGAAAACATATCCATTTGAATAGTTTCTCGGAAGCATTGCATCTCATTAACATACGCACTGAATTATCTCCTTTCTACTGATTATTAGAAGAAGGCGAAATGTCTCCAATTCTTGGCATCGAAGAATTAAACAGAAACCAGAAAGTGACCATTTTTCAACCTTTCGTGTTTTATACGGTAATTATCTAATTGTTTTGCTTTATATTATAAGAATTGGTTATTACTTTTGAGAGACTTAAAGCAAAGAAATTAAATTGCGTAGAAACTTCATTAGCTAAGTAGCAAAATTAACTTATGATTTGCAAGTTAAGCTCAGAAATGAGCGATTCAAACATTGGATCATACGAATGAAAGTATTTTTTCAGAATTCAAATCCATAATTCTTGGCATTGAAACCTTGTGGCAGTTGATAGACTCTTGTATTTCCTATGAAAGCTAAAAATGATTTAAGCCATACTGAAAGTTAATGATTTGATTCATATGAAACGGACGATCAGTCTCCAAGCAAATAAAAAGTGAAACAGAAAAGGATGAAAAAAGCGGAAAGTTACAAAGAGATGAAATGACTAATACTATTAATATGTTTGGTTTGGACATAATCAATTATTGGGACATTATTATGAGCTGAAAGACTAGTAAGATTAGATCTTTCTTTGGGCTATCACTGATATTAGTTGATAAGAAATTGATTATTAGTTTATTTCGTTCGAATTATCATCGTCACTGCTCGTTTTATATGCTTACATATGATTTCATTTGGAAGACTACATTGAATAAAAGTTAAAGTGCATAACTGACATTGCAAGCTGCTAGAAGGAATTGAAATATTAAAATAGGAAATGGATGAATATCGTAGGTTACTATTAATCATACGAACACTTCCAATTCTTTGCAGGCGCGCAATACGCATATTCCAATTTACCGCCGTTCATCCGTTCCATAACGCATAAATGTCTCTTTTCATCGCAGAAACAACCTTTGTTTCTATAACAGAGCGTTCTCAATTCACTGATAATTTTTATCCAATTTTTTAATAATAAAACTAACTGAGACGTAGACTTACGTCCAAGACTGATTCCTCTTTAATATGCACCACGCTTGCGGTTCACGTTGATCATAACAAGCCACGTGAGAGTCACATTGTTTCTTCCTGCAATAAACTGAAGTGAAATACAGTGGAATTGAAGTGGAATCATTTGTAATTAGTGTTCGATTTTATATAAAGAAAATATTTCAAAGTAAATAAAAAGGGCCAAAATGAGCTTCGATTATACTGCGGAAAGGTGGGAATTGTTTATGGCTAAGAAGTAAAATTCTCGTAAAATTGTTAAAGTTCAAACTACTGAAAGGTCAAAACGACTTGCTTGCCGTCTGTTTCAACGAATTCCCCTTTGGCAGTATATTCGTCTTCTCTCTCTTCACTATCATCCTTATCTTCTTCTTCATCCTCTTTCTCTTCACTATCATCCTTATCTTCTTCTTCATCCTCTTTCTCTTCACTATCATCCTCTTCATCTCTCTTTCTCATCACTGTCTTGATAATCATCATCATCTTCATCCTCTTTCTCTTCACTACCATCCTCGTCTTCATCCTCCTCTTTCTCATCACTATCATCTTGATAATAATCATCATCTTCATCCTCTTTCTCTTCACTACCATCCTCGTCTTCATCCTCCTCCTTCTCTTCATCCTCCTCTTTCTCATCACTATCATCTTGATAATAATCATCATCTTCATCCTCTTTCTCTTCATTTCCATTCTCTTCTTCCTCTTCCTCCTTCTCTTCCTCCTCTTCGTCACTCATCTGAAATCATTGAGACTTTCATTCTATTCACGTAAATTACGCTTCTGTTTTGGAATAAATTTCTGCTCTAAGCTTAAAGAGTAATACTTTAGCAATTGCCTTTCTAATTTACTTATACTTTCTTTTTTTTTTTCAGTTTAGCAATTTAAATAAATAAAAAATTCAAATTAAGAAATTAAATTGAAGAAAGTTACCTCTTCTTCTTCCTCTTCAATTGATTGTTTTGCATAAAGTGGTGTGACAAAAAGAATTACCAAGCCAAAAACTATTAAAAGTTTGTTCATTTTTTATTTCTAAAAAAAATCAAACATCCATTAATTCCATAAACGTGAAGTGATTAATACGTAACGTGTAAATTTCCAAATAATTAGAACAAAATTTCGTTCTTCTTTTTTATTTTACTTATTCATCTTTATAAGGGACGGAAATGTAAATCAATTTCTACAACAATTCAGTTTTTTTTTTTTTTTTTTTTTTTTTACATAAATTAGGTTAAATTAATTTCAATTATTATTTTATATATTTATTTTTCTCTCTTTTTCTCTCACTTCTTTTCTACTTAATTAGCTTCTTCAAAAAAAAAAAAAAAAACAAGAAAAGAAGAATTCAGCTAATTCGTTTAACAAAAAACTCAATTGTTTTGCTAAATATGATCAGTTAGGTTTACCTGAAAAGATACTGAATGGTTGAAGAGGAATATACCTGTATAAGCTAATAATTAACCTGTTTATAAATGATATTTGAATGTACAGTAAAGCAGATGTGTCCATTTTTTTTTCTCGCATTTGAGAGAATATGGAAAGAAAGAAATTTGATTGCTTCTGTTTTAGTTTCTTTTATGGAAGTGTAGCAAAACATTGCTTTCGTTTCTTTCGCTTTCTGAAAAGTTTACACAGCTGATTTATTCAAAACAAATCATTTCTGTTTGGAAAAAACAATTTTATTTTTTTTTGTTTACTTTATCAAGCTGAAGAGCACAGCAGAAGTAAATATTGGCTGATAAAAGATAAAGTTTATCCTGAACTTTTCATAAATTAGAAATGAATGGATGAGTTAGTTAGTATTTCACGATTACTTTTTAATTAAAACAAAAATTTGATAACCACTAGAATTTGTTTCCTTGTTTCATGTACAAAAACTATTACAAATTTTAAGATTTTTGAAAAATTCAAAATTTAAATTTGAAATAAAATTTAATTTTATTTCTTAAAATGAATTAAAACCATGATTAATTGAAAGTTTTATTAATTTTGCTTATGAAATTTTGCGCAAAACTTAATTTCAGAAGCGCATTTTAATATTTAAACTATAAAATGACCACACCATATATGACCAGCTCTGGTACAATGCATATGAAATAATTAATTTTTTAATGAATTGCTATTTTTAACAGATTTAACACTTAATTAAAATTAGATTTGATAATCTAGAACCAAATTTTATGGAAGTGTAGCAAAACATTGCTTTCGTTTCTTTCGCTTTCTGAAAAGTTTACACAGCTGATTTTTTCAAAACAAATCATTTCTGTTTGGAAAAAACAATTTTATTTTTTTTGTTCACTTTATCAAGTTGAAGTGCACAGCAGAAGTAAATATTGGCTGATAAAAGATAAAGTTTATCCTGAAATTTTCATAAATTAGAAATGAATGGATGAGTTAGTATTTCAATATTTCTTTTTTAGGACTAACGCATAAATTGAAATTATCTATCCAAGGATGAATTTTGATCTATGAATATATTCACTTACGGAAGATCTTAGCTTAACTGCGATTTGCGATTTTATTTAATAGAATGACTGCTATATTCATTTAACAGAGAAAAATTTTATTCTTTTAAAATTGAATAGCAAAATTAAGAAAGAAAAAATTGCTTTGCTTTACTGAATGAGAAAAGTTCAAAGTAAATTTAAGAAATCTAAAAAAATTTTATTTACAGTATAAAAAAAAGTCAAATAAAGAAATATTTAACAAAAAAAAAACGAAAGATTTTTGCCTAATATTTGATATTTAAAAATTAAATTATAATTGTTCTTTTTTAATTCCCATTTTGGATATGAATTGATTCCTTCTGTAGGAAATAGCTAACTTTATATGCTTTTTTTTTTTTCTAGAATTTTCTATGTTTGCTAGACAGTCAATATTTTAAAATAAGTATTTTTTTTCGAATTAGAATTTTCTAGGTCTGCTAGACATTCAATATTTTTGATAATGCTATAGTTATAACATAGATTAGCATACCTTCTAAAAATAAGTTATTTTCAGGAAACTGATAAAAAAATTTTAGTGAAAATTCCACCATCAAATACCTCTATATTGTCCATATATTTACATATTAAAAGTTTTTTTCCGGTTAAAATTTTTTTCACTAAAAAAATAAAACAAAATGGTTTTAGAAAGAAAAATAAGTTTTTTTAAAATAATATTATGCTATATTGCTGATATTGTTCACACTATAACACATTTTATATTAACTTAACTAATTCATTCTTATCATATCACATTCTTATCATTTGATTATTTGCAACTTTTTCCCTTCAATTTTACATACTAATTATAGCCAAAACATTGTTTGAAATATTTTCGAATTTCACCAAAAAAAAAAGTTTCAATAGCATTGCGTGCTTTTATTGTTATTCTTAAACAATTTTAAGCATAAGTAAGCGAATAATGCAAGTGAAAATATTGATTTATGAAAAATTAATAACTTAATAACTTTATATGTAAATGTTGATTATGTTTTTTTTTTCAAAGTACATTTCATTAATTCACAGTTTTTTACGAATTTCAGAACTTTGATGCAAAATAAATGAGATATTACAGTATTACTTTTGCTTCATACAACCGAAGAAATAACAGAATTTAATTTTTTCAAATGAGATATTTGTATGAAATTTTAAAATTTAACAAATCATTTGCAGTTTCTTCTTTCCTTTCTTTCTTTTTTTTTTTTTCCTTTCATTTCATCCAAAAATTTGTCAAGTGAAATGATTAAATTTTGATGCTTCAAGAAATGTTTACAGAATATAAAAGTATCGTAGTTACTGGTAAATATAAACAATCACACTTAATTGTAAGGCAAAAATGAATTTTTGGTACGACAGAAATTCATATTGTTGACATTTTCTGCAATTTTACATGAAAGAAAGAGAAAAAAAGAAAAAGTCGAAAATCCGTTAATTTTTATAACTTTCTCAGTAGCGTCACGTTTTCTAATGCTAATTTAAATTTTGGAAAAGATTACGTAATGACGTGAAATGAGTAAATCTAAATTAGTCATTTAAAAATGGAAAACAAAGGGAAAAATGAAAATTTCAACATCATTGACTAAAATTGGGACAATTCCTTAAATATGTAACTCAAATTGATATTTTCATACAGCTTCAAATTTTCATAGTTCCTTCTTTAGACGAATCTTCTGATACTTTCTGGCTCACAATGGAACTTGCTGCAAAATATTTTAGAGTTTAAAAATACTTGAAATTCATTTATAATAGAATATGGCTAATAAGAGATGAATTTTACAGTTATATCCTCTACGATTCAGCAATTTCAAGGCTTTATTTAACAAACTATTATGCTTCATTTCTTGAAATTACAGTAAACAGTGCGAAATTTCAAAAATTTGTCTAGCCTACATACTTAAATCAAATTTAATTATGAATTAATTCAATAGACACAAATTTGTGGTTAATTAATATAAGCCGAATCATTTCACTTACTTCATGCATGATGCATGATCTAGTGGCATGAAGCAAGCTATAAAATCAAAGATTGAAAGAATATTAGCAAAATTGAAATAATGCAAAAAGACGAACAATCATCAATCAATCATGGTTTTAATTCAATTTAATAATTAAAATTAAATTTTATTTCAAATTTAAATTTTGAATTTTTTAAAAATCACGAAATTTGTAACAGTTTTGTTGCTGCATTAAACAAGGAAATTGCTTCTAAATTATCAATTTTAATTTTAATTAAGGGTCAAAACTACTAAAAATAGCAATATTTTGAACTTAATTGATTATGTTATATGCCTTGCACTAGAGCTTGTCATATATGGTGTGGTCATTTTATAGTTTAAATATTAAAATATGCTTTTGTAATTAAGTTTTGCGCAAAAATTCATCTGCAAAATTAATAAAATCAATATTTTGTTAGCAAAATAAATTAAATTTTTAATTTTTCACGATTCCTATTCATTCTTACAATTAAAATTAATTTATATTTCAAATTTAAAAAACCCATTTATAAAAATCCCATAATTTGTACAGGTAATTGCATATTAAACTAGGTAAGAAGTCTTACTATGATCAAAATTTTATTTTAAAGGATGATAAAACTATTTAAAAATATCATTTAATAAAAAAAATTGATTATTATATACGCATAGTGCGGCATTGTGGTCATTTGACATCTTAAATAATAGAATAATGCTTAGGCTTAGGCTTAGGGTACACTTAGGCTTAGGCTTAAGCTATATTTGAAATCTAAACATTGATTTTGGTGAAAATTCTGTAATTTGCAAGAGTTTTTGTATATTAAACGAGAAAATTAATAAAACTTTTAATTAATCATGGTTTTAATTCAATTTAAGAATTAAATTTAAATTTTATTTCAAATTTAAATTTTGAATTTTTTAAAAATCATGAAATTTGTAACAGTTTTGTTGCATTAAACAAGGAAATTGCTTCTAAATAATTAATTTTAATTTTAATTAAGGGTCAAAACTACTAAAAATAGCAATATTTTGAACTTAATTGGTTATGTTATATGCATTGCACTAGAGCTTGTCATATTTGGTGTGCTCATTTTATAGTTTAAATATTAAAATATGCTTTTGTAATTAAGTTTTGCGCAAAAATTCATCTGCAAAATTAATAAAACTTTTAATTAATCATGGTTTTAATTCAATTTAACAATTAAAAATAAATTTTATTTCAAATTTAAATTTTGAATTTTTTAAAAATTTTTTAATTTATAATAGTTTTTGTACATTAAACAAGGAAATTGGTTCTAAATTGCTATTTTGAACTTAATTGATCATGTTATATTTATTTAATTCTTACAGTTACAATTATTTTTTATTTTTGATTTAAAACTCATGTTTTATGAAAATTCATTGATTTATTAGAATTATAAAATAAATTCTAGTAATATCAAAAACTAATTTTAATTAAATTTAAAATATTAAAAAATATCAAATCTTTAAAAAAATAAATATTTTGTAGTTAATTGATTGAATTTTATGCGTTGCATAAGTACTGGTCACACACATCGTGGTCATTTGACCAGCAATAATAAAAAAATTAACTTTAGAAGTTAAGTTTCAATCAATATTTTGTTAGCAAAATAAGTTAAATTTTTAATTTTTCATGATTCCTATGATATAATAGCCAATGATAAAAGATAATAGAAGGAAGAGAAAGAAAAATTCATCATTAATTACTATTTGTTAAATAAAACAAACAGAACAGACCATAATTAACAGTTTACGCTACACAAAAGTCCAATAGGATACCTCAATGAGTTCAATGTTACATTATTGCAAATTGAACAGAGATATTCTGATGGTATCGATGGCAACTGAAAAAGAAAACAAGAATATATTTTTATAAAAACATTTACAATGATAAATTCTAATTTCTTAAAATTATTTTTAATTATAAACCAAAATTTTTGTTAAATTTTGATAATAAATGAGTTGATAATTCTAATACATATTGGTGAAATTAAAAAAATGAAATATTTCAAAATAAGTTTAAAGTAATGACAATTTGAATGCGAATAAGTACACATTTTAATGAACAAGCAGCAAACAGATCAATTTGCCTAATTAAAAATTTTTCAGAAACTATTGTCTTAATTAATTTGGCAATTGTCATAACAATGATAATTAATCTAATTAATTTAAGTCTTACCGTAATAGAAGATAAGTCTAATTATACTTACTACTCTTGCAGATATCGATACACTTCGTGTAGATCTCGACCTTCTTCCCGCAGATCCTGGCATTCTTACCTCAGATCTCGATGCTCTTTCCGCAGATCCTCCAATTCTTGCCTCAGACCTCGATTCTATTTCCGCAGGTCCCGGCATTCTTGTCTTAGATGCTGGTACCTCTCCCGAAGATCCCGATGCTTCCATAGATCCTCCTTCTTCTTCCGCTGATCCTGATATTTCCATAGATCCTCCTGCTCCTTCTACAGATCCAGATTCTTCTTCCGCAGATTCCATTGCTTCTTCTGTAGATTCTATCATTTCCTCCGCAGATTCCATTACTAATCAATTTTCCTCTGAACTGCTTGCAAAACCTGAAAGCACTCAACATGAAAAGAACGGTATTTCCATCTAAGACATTGTCGTAGTATTTGCATTTAAGACATTTGTATTATCTATATTTGCAACATTTTTCGTACATTTCATTTTCCGCCATATTCTTTGATCTCTAAAAAGTATTTTTGGATATGCTCGACGCTACTGTATGCTTGATAGAATCATTACTGATTACTGATAAGATGGACAATGAATGGATTTTTGTAATATAAACTCAAAATTGCTAGTTTAATAAGAATTAGATATGCAAATTAATAGAAGCATTAATGTTCAGCACATATTTTGTGTACTGAACAATAGCTAAGCTCGTATTTCAGGCTCATATTCATTTGAGCCAAGCAAAGTTGTTAACATCGAACTAAAGAACTTGGCCAAAATTTGAAGGCATCCATCCGTTGGCTGTAAATGTGAATAAATATTAAATTAATTTTGCAGTCAAAAACAAATTTCTTCAAATATTTATTTTACAATTTGTATTTCTGTTTCTGCCACAAATAAGTCTGCATGCTAGACAAATAAGCAAACACTTAAATGTTCGGTAAATATTATTATACAGATATTATTTTAATTTCCAACAGAAAAATTGATTTTCTCTTGGAAGTTTCTAATAGTGTATAAATGACATAAAATATTATCCTATTCATAGTATTTATATACTTTTGATAAAAAAAAAAGAAAATAATAAGATATATAATGATTAGTGCTTCTTTTTTCCTTACAACAACGGATAAAGTATTTCTTCGCAAAACAACATTCTTTTTTCTCAAAGAAAACTCTCGTTATATAATTAAAATTTGCTTATAAATCAATCTATAGATTACGACTTTAAAATTATTCATTTAAAAATGTAAAATTCCACTTCATTCCACCTCATTTGCAGAAATAGTTTCAGTGGCTGATGTTGTGCAACAACTATCCAAGCATGAGAGTTGACCACAAAGAAGACAAATAAATGGCATTCGAGGGACTAATCCACATGCTATGCAAGGAACTCCGAAAAATCGAGCAAATAAGTCATCGTAACTTTTTGGCAATGTAAGAAGCGTGAATCTACGCCATCCTAGTGGTTCCTTATTCCTTATGTAACTTCGTTGTTGCAATTATGGAATTATGAACAGAAAGTAAACAAGCAGTATTTGATAATTTGAATGAAATAAAAACAAATAAGAAGTGTTTGAACATAAGCTTTGTAGCATCCAACATGCGCATAATGAAAAATAGCAAAATTTTGAACTTAATTGATTATGTTATATGCCTTGCACTATAGCTTGTCATATATGGTGTGGTCATTTTATAGTTTAAATATTAAAAAACGCTTTTGTAATTAAGTTTTGCGCAAAAATTCATCAGCAAAATTAATAAAACTTTCAATTAATCATGTCTTTAATTCAATTTAAGAATTTAAATTAAATTTTATTTCAAATTTAAATTTTGAATTTTTTTAAAATTTTGAAATTTGTAATAGTTTTTGTACATTAAATTATCAATTTCAATTTACAATTTATATTTTAATTTACAATTTATTTTTATATCTAGATTATCAATTTTAATTTTAATTTACAATTTATATTTAGTTTATTCAAAAATTTAGAAATCCAAGGCCAATTCAATGTAAGCACATTACTTGCTTTAATGAAATAATTATCACATTTCTTTTAATTAAATCCGTCTGCTGTGTAGCGCTGATAGATAGCATTACGGTTTATTGGAATGTCAAATATTAAGAAACATTCTTCTCAAAAAAATTGCTAAAAACTCCATTCATACTTGAAAACAATAAAAAAACAAATCACTTACGCTACTTTGATGCCATCACGCTAAGGCTGCCATTTAAAAAAATCATAGAGCAGAAGACAACTTTAAAAAAAAACCTAAGTTTTTAATAAACATTTAACAACAAATCTAGTTCAAAAATAAAATTAAAAAACAAAAATAATACAAAACAAAAAAAAATTACTAAAATAAAAAGAATAAATTAATTAAAAAATTAACCAAAAAAAAAAAAAAAAAAAAAAAATAAATATTTAAACAAAATAAACAACATTTAAAAAAAAATTATATTAAAACTATATAAAATGGAAATATAACTTAACTATAAATATAAAAAAAAACAGAAATAAAAGTACGTTATATCAATACAAAGTTATAATTATAATTAATTTCGTAAAAATAAAAAATTATAAACCTTGACACTTTATTTCTATTATTCATAAATTATGATAAAAACTTCTATTGATATGCAATACCAAAAAATAAAATTAAAAAATAATTAAAATTTATAAATATCCTAAAGTCTAAATCTTTCAACACTCTAAAGAGGTCAACTCTAAAGTAATAGGTATGAAATTATAATTAGCACCGCAAATTTCAGGTTGCAAACTATAAAATAACCCTCCACAACAAGAAAAATTAAAATTAATTTTAGTGAGTTTAGTGAGTTTAGAGCATCTATTTTAACAAAACATTTTTGGCACAGCAAAAGAATGAAAATAATACTACTAGAAGTACAGTAAAGATCAACACTCATGTTAATAGGTAAATATCAAATAATCGAAAGTGACTAATGTTTAAATCATCTACAGGCTTTATAAAAGAATCAAAAACTAATCTACTATCGTCACCATATTCATAACTTCAATATCACTGATGACCGATAACCTTTAAAGTTAATTCAGACTGACGAAACATACGACCTTGATATTGGATCAACCAAAACTCTGAACTTCGTCCCATCTTCTAATTTTATTGTTTCGTTTTTCTGTTTGATAAAAATAGTATTTCAAGATATCTTTGTATTACGCAAACATTTAAATTATTCATCAAAAAGTGATTTCTAAACTATAAATACATCTAAGATTGATTGTGATTTTTGCAGTTAATATAAATGACAAGTTTCTGTAGAAAAAATCAAAAAAAAAAAAAAAAAAGACTTTATGATTTACTGGTTGAAAAGAAATACCGAAGTTTACAATTTACAGCGTAAGCGAGAAAATCCAACCAAACTGAGCAAAGTTATTTGTTTTAGGCGTAATTTATCATTAAACCTAAGGGAGTCGGAAAAAGTTGTATTTTCAACATGAAAAAATTCAACATAAAAATTAAACACTAAAATGTTTAGTAAAAAAAAACTTTGTTTTATTCAAGATGACATGCAAATGGAGATAACCAGGAGTTAGTCAAAAGTAACTTTATGTTTTTCTCTGATCAGAATTGGCTATAAGAAATACTTAAAAACCATCATTATATCAAAAAATGATTTGGAAATCAATTTACTGTCAATATATAAAATTAATAAAAATATCATAGATTTCGTTCAAGAACTAAATGTTCAATTGAAAAGGAACGTACTCTCTTTTTGAACATTACTAATGTTTTTGTCATAAAAAACAAGCATATTCATTTCAGCCTCATATTAAATCATTAATAACCGCTTAATAAATCACGTATTCTTGAATCGTTTTGTTTTCAAATTATATCGTTTCGTTGGATATCGATCCATACGTTCTGCAATTTCTGGATCCCAAGGCATTTTTTCATCTTGACGAGTATAATCAAATGAATCCTCTTCAAAATCGAACCAATCTTCTTTTGGTTTAAACTGTCGATATAACCTCTTATTTCTTAAACTGATGACTTCACCTCCCTTTCCGGGAAAAGCTGTTTCACCTGCAATTAATGAAGATGCTAAGGTAATAGTACATTAAAGTATGTCTAAAAAGAAAGAAAGGATTTTGAAAACAACTCCAATATAGGCAAGATCGAAGAATTAAACGTAAAGTTTATGTATTTAGAAATTTTTAAAATTGAAATTGAAACTTATGTTTGTGGATTTATTACGTAATTATATATTTATATCTATTCATTACTACAATCATCTTATTTTAAAAATTTTTTCTTATTTTAAAAATAACAAAGCAAATTAGGAAGCATGGAAATTCCTTAAACTATATCAAATCTGCACTCTATTTTATTCTTACTTAATTTGATAATTTTATAACAATTAAAAAGAAATTATAGCTAACATAGACATGTGCTTCCAATACCAGTTATAATACACTTCTATTTTAGCTATGTATGAAAATTGTTTACCTCCATGATAAGAATAAATATCTTCGGGATGAAAACGGAACGGATGTTCCATAATATGTAAGTTCTTTGGTAACGTCTGTTTGTTGTCACGAGCCATCTGTGCATATTCGGTAAGATTTTGAACTGGACGCCAGTAGAAATCAATTAAATCACCAACCGTTTTCATTTGATGTAATTCAGAATTGGGAACTACATGACACAGTCTTTTACCTAGCAAATCGAGAAGCTAAAACAATATGGAGCTAAAAGGTAGAGTCTGAAATTGTACTTATATTGCTGCAGATTGATTTCTATCCAATAAAATATCATTCAATCAAGACTGTTATATAAAAGAAGATCTAAGCAAAGTACTAAATAAAGCAAACCTGAAATTTTAAGTGCCGATTCTTTGTAAGATCGATACTTCGTATATCGCTATTTACATTTTCAAAAACTGCATTCACAGCTTCTTTCACTTGGTCCTCAAGATCACTTGGTGGTTTGTAGTTATACCGATATTTTAAGAACCTGAAAGTAATGGATAAAACTAATCAAACAATCAGTTTTCTCTCATACACTAAAAAATGGTATTAATCGCAATTTAACAAATTCATAATCCTAAAGTTTGTAGTAAAATCCCAGACTTCAGAAATTAAGCCACGAAATATTGCTTGCATATTCAAATTTTCTTGATCAATCATTATATACATAAGAATTCTAGTTATCAAAATTAGGATTTTCCAGAAAGTTTGCAGTTAAATTGGTAAAACACGTCTTAATAGCATGCGAAAAATAAAAGTCACGGATGAATATAAAATACTACTATTGCGAGAGTGATAATTTATTTGGTTATTTACAATTTCGATCTGAAGTTAGTTTCATAATGCATAACAAAAATAGTATTAAAAAAAGACCCTCTAGCTCGGATCGAATCCATGTCAATTTTCTCTTTCGATGTAAGATCCAGAAATTCATCATCCTCTGTATCACTGTGTTTTTTTGGTCCATCACCTGATTTCAATGATGGCAACATTTTTTTCAACATACTCTACAAACGAAAAAAATATATTTGGTAAATATGACTAAAATAGCAACTGAAATTAATTGTTACCTTATAACTGAATAGCATTACTCAAATTATATAAAAAACTTATCTAATACTTGTATACTACAGTACTCGAATGTTTGAACCATTGTTTCTGAATATTATAACTCTTACACTTATTACTGAAGTTTATATTAAGATATTCTAATATTTCCCATTGCATAAGCTATAAGTTAGCTACTTCGACACTCAAGTATTTCAACTTATTTATACTTGACAATGCCTAAGTGTTATTCTTGAGATATCTCAAAAGGAAGCAAATATACCATGCAATACTATTACATATAAATGTCAATTAGATAAAGTAATAAACATCTCAGAGAAAAAGCTTGAACTGTTGAATCCATATGATACATAAACTGATTTTCAAATACAATATTATCATTTCATATACATACTAATTAGATATGCTAATCATTAACTAATTTAAAAAATTGATGTAGTCTTCTTACTTATTGCTACTAGGTATAGAATAAGCATTTTACACTAACCTCAGCTTCATCACTTAGCACCATTCTTTCATCCATTTCTACTTTCTCTTTCTCATTTGATAATTTTTGTTCAGGACGTAACTGTGACAATATATTTCGCCATCTTATACGACATATACGAGAGCAATTCATCTGCTTCTATTCTGCTTTTCACGTTTATCCATATAACAAAATCCTAAAATTGATAATGTATTAAAGAAAAAAAAACAGGCAAAATCTAAAGTTTCCAATAAAAAAAAAAAAACGAAAGTAAGCAAAACTTAAAATAAACAGTAAGAACTGAAACACACAAGTCATTTTATTAAATAAACTTTACAAAAATGCTTATCCAAATTAAAGCTATTAGATATGATATGTGTTTCTAAGTGAAATATCGCCATACGGTAATTTCTCTTTAAGCGGGTAAAATGCATTCCTCCTGTTAATGAAAAAGTTTGTTTCATGTTTACCAACGTTATTCGAAGGCGTCGCATTGTCGTTTTTTCCTATTTTGTCCAAGTTTTTTCTTTTTTTTTTGTCATAAAGAATTTAATTTTTTGAATTTTTAAATTACAAATGTTCTTCATTGGTATTTTCGTCATTAATAACTTCTGTAATGATCTATAATTAATGATTAACAATATGATTTTTTTTTTTTATTTGTTCTCCTAATTAATTTGTTCTCCTAATAATATGTAAATTTTATACATCTGTTCCAGCTATTCTACAACTTTATTAATATTACATTTTTTGTAATATACATATATATATATATATATATTTTGTAATATATGTAATATTTTATAATTTACTAATGTTTTTGTTATAATTTATATATCTTTTTTGTAATGTGCATGTATCCTTATAGTTAAACGTATAATAATAATGTTACATTATGTATTATACAGTAAAAAATAACTTTATTCTTTATATTCCATTTAGAATTATTACAAACAATATGATACGTTGCATATAAAGTATTACAAAACATATGAATTATAATTTATATGTCTGTTTTTACTGTGATGATATGTATTTCAATATTTTGCATGAAATTATAAGATTTTGTAATATGCGCAACGCATTACATTCTTTATGATGGTTTTAAATGGAATGTAATAAACCGTTTTTCTTTTTTTTTTTTTTATGAATATAAAAATGAATACAAATGATTTTAATTAATTTTTTAAAAAGAATATATACGCGATATGGATGGAAATGGATGGGGTGAAGAGAGTTATGATGCTGGAATTGCTGGTGGTTGGGGTGAAGCATCATTTGTGGAAGCTGATGAATACAAAGAATGCCAACACACCACGAAAGTACCATTTCCAGCTACGATCAAAGATCTTAGTCAGTTAGCAAGCAATGAAGAGAAAATAACAACCGGTAAATATACCTTCAGTACGGTAAGCTTTATAAGTTGTGTTTTATTAATATCATTGTAATGAAAAAAATAATGAGTACGATGAATTGTTATTATATCATTATCATAGAAATATATTATATCAAAAATATTACTGATACAATTAAAAATATTTGTTTTTTATTAGGCATTTTAAAAGGAACTTTTTGGTGTTCTTTTATTTTGATCTTTAATGGGAAATTATAAAATTAAAATTAGTCGAAAAAGAGAAGACGAAAAAAGAGAGTAATGAAGGAGGAAGGATTGCAGATCATTACTTATCATCTCGTGCTTAGGCTTCTAAATTGCATTATTACATGAAAGAGGAATTAGTATCTTTGATCAGCCCAATTATCATACATTAAGATCTAGCTAAAGTCTATTTGAGTTATTTTAATTTGCTTAAATTTTATTAGTAAAGGCATCATGCAGTGAATAATAAGCGATATGCTCTCTTTATCGACTGAACAAGGTTAGTAAACTGATTGGTAAATTTCTGTGATAATGATCTAAATGGTAAGCTTTTGTAAGTGTCTGATTTTAAGATTCGAGTTGTTGGCCATGTGAAGGAATCGCTACAAACAGATGGAGGACAATCTGTCGAGTATACATTATCTGATTATCATGATACATATGCCACATTTCTCGTCATTCACTACAAAGGCGTGGTAGTTTTTATTCTGCAGATTATGCATTAAATTGATTTCATTATCTCAGCGTGCTATTTCAAATTGTGTAAAAAGTTAAGAACTAAAAACACTTTATGGAGAAGAATGCACATTCACTCATTAATCGACTTTCTATACTGCTTTTTATCGAATCGATTAATGTAAAAGAGGAAGCGACTGATTCTATGCATGAGTCTTGCATTGGGAGGGTAATGTGGTTACCTGAACAGATAGTTTGTATTGTTTGCCATTTCTGAAATCATATTATTGGTGGAATAAGATTTATTGTTTGAATAGTCTTTGTCAATACTCTTAGATATTTAAAAAAATCCTTAGTAATATATGTATATTCAGCTTGCAAGTGCTGCAGCAAATTCAGATGCAGTAGTAGAGGGAACGGATATTTCTGTTGTGGGAAAATTGCGGAGTTTTAGTGAACGACTTTGTATTGTTGCTTTTGATGTAAGTTCTTTTACTATATGCATTTATTATTACACTGTCATTTTTAAAGAGAATGCTTCCTATTGATTCTTCCCTTCTCCTTTTATTTCTGTCATTCAAAAGAAAAGAAAAAGTAGCCTTTTTTACTCTTTAGAGGCTTCCTGGCAAGTATTGACGGAAAGATAGGTAAGTAAGTTATAATTACTTTCTTATGCGTTCAATTATAATGAATTGCAGGTTCGAGAGATAGAGGATAAGAGAGAGATTGATGCTTTTCATTTAGAAGCTCGACTTGCTCGCCTTTTCTATGCGAAAGTATGATTTAACTTTTCTAACTATAAGGAGCACTGATAAATAGTAAATAAGAGTTGGCATATTGAACTTATTCCTCGTTTTACTACTTGATTCCAGAACTTTGTTATTTGTCAAAAAATCTGGATTTAATAAAGTTCGTTTTCAGTTTACCTGCTGTTTTTTTATCAAGTTTTTCCATTGTCATCCCTATCTGTTCTGCATGCATACCTCCTATCACTCTCAATTTCCTCCTAACACAATTACTTCATCATGAGGTCATTAAATCTCAGTACAGTCCTGTTCCATTCTCTTCAACATTGGTAAATTACTGTTTTCTTTAAAATTTAAATTCTTTTAGGATGTGCTGGATATAGCATTATCAGAAAAATGGATAGCTTTATCCGCAGATACAATGTTACGTGTAAATGAAACAGATGGAGGACAAACTAAAACGACCAGCGATTGGAAGAGCAATATAAAATCTAATTTGAAATCAAGCAGTTTAATGCAACAAAGTTCATCACGATCAATTCCTGATAGTGGTTGTCGTGGATTAACTGGTCAGAAAGCTGAGGTATATATGTTTTTTTTTTTTTTTTTTTGAATTATCTTAGAATGCAAATATTGCATTTCATATTTTATACTTACTTCATAGCAAGGTGTACTGAGTTTTCTAATCTTCTTGAACTTTTAGATATTTAAATATTTGCGTAGTAATGGCGATCCAGTTATTGGAGCTAGTATTGATGATATACGTACTGGCATCCCAAAAAATCACTTTAATTCATCCAAATTTGCCGAGGATATTGAATATTTAGCTTCTGAAGGCCTGATTTATGCTACTTCAGACGATGATCATTATGCCGCCAATGCATAATCTTCAATCAAGCAATGAAAATAATAATTTCTCCACATTTACAGTTCGATTTGCCTTTAATTTATATGATTGATTATTTTGACAAGTTTTACTATTATATCTACATTTTCTAATAACCTTCAACAAATTTTTTTTTTTCTCTTCTTTCTAAAATGCAGTGATATCCGATTGAAATAACTAATTCTCTACTTCACTTCCAATTCTTAGCTAAAAAAAATGTTTGTTTTGTTCCTAATGCAACCAGATTGTTGAATAATGCTAGGTAGTATATGAAATAAACTGGGCTGAAAATTCCACTGTACTGGTTATCTGCTCAGTATTTGTATATGCTTATGTGAAATTAAGTCGGTGCAACAAAATGAAGATTGAGAGGATGTTTTTTTTTTCTTATGCATAGAATGTAACCAGTCGAATTGCTATTTCGCGTTGCATTAGTATTGGAACATATTCTGGAGTTTTTGAAAAATTGACAATTTTAAAGGTTAAAACCTTTAAAAACTTCAACTACGGCAGATTATGTTTCATTGCAATCCTAAATCTAATGTAAATCGAATCGGAATGAAAAGTTTGCCATTGTATTGTTGGTCATTTAAGTTTGATAATATTGAAGAGAGTCATCTCACTTTTTTTTTCCGTTGGTTATCTTAATTTTGCATTTAAATGGAATGTTTCACTTTCCAGTACTTTTTGATTTGTTTTTAATGAATTCGAGTTTTTTATTTTTGAAAAATCTCATCGCGCATATTATTAATTCAAATAAAAGGATTAAGCAGGTATAACGTATGGGGACATCGATTGATTTCGGAAATACCAATTGTTATAGATGAAGATTAGTATAATCTTCTTATTTATGAATAAACAGAAAATTAAATCAGCCTGTGTTTCAGTTGTTTATCATGGCTTTTTCTCAGCATGTCTCTTAGTATGTTCAGCAGCCATACTTAAGAATTTTTGCTTATCCTAAAATTTGAATTAAAAGTTTGTCAAAAATTTTTTTTCTTGAATTAAGATGAAATTGAAAAGTATATTTGGCTTTTTGGATATACATTCTAGACCCAGAAGTATTTTTTTAATGGTTTTTTTTCGTTTTTTTTTTTTTTTTTTTTTTCGATAAATCAAATAGATTTAAAATAACTTACAGATTGGTATGGTATAAAAATGTGTTAGGTTATGCATTTGCGGTTTCCTTTTTTCATTTTTTAATTTTTCATAAAAACAAATAAAGAAAGCTTCACGCAGCGATTTTACCTTATAAATTTGTTCAGCAATTCGATGACGAAGTGGACGTTCAGGTTCTGGATCGTTGAGCAGAAAAATCAAAGATTGTATTACTGGAAAATAATGAATTCTTATTATACGCATTTTTACAAAATGTAAAAATACATATGGCTAAATGATCAATTTAATGATTATTCAATTTTTTCTAATCTTTTTAGGAAAGTTTTCTTTATTTATATAAAAAAGTTTTATGTTTAAGTTAGTATGATTTATTGCCTAAGATTTTTTCTTCTTTTTTCTTTTTTTTTTTTTTTTGACTATTCAAGAAGAATTTACTGCAAAATGGAATAATATGTACGATTATTTTATCCGTGAAAAAAAAAAAAAAAAAAAAAAAAAAAAAAGAAAGAAAAAACTACTAGTTGCTATGATTTTGATACTTTTTAAATTTAAATATCTCATTGAAATATTCTAATGGAATTTCTTAAAAGCATATTTCAATGTTAAAAATTTGCTAAGCGAACTATTCTCAATGTTTGTTCCCGGTTTCCAATTATCATATTGTAAAATTGCTAAACACATTTGTCCTTTTTCATCGATATTTGGATGATAAATTGGTGTGATAAAGCATAGATGCGGTGGTTTGAATGGATAATCGCTCGGGAAAGTTATACGTAATCGAAACATTCCATTATTATATGGTGGTCGAGGCTAAAATATTTTCAGAATTTTCATTTGATAAAATTTGAAAATACTAAATTGAATTAATCATACTATCATTATGCGATCATTAAAGTTAAATTATTGGAAAATTTTAATTTCAAAAATTTTAAATGACTTAATTGAATTGATAACATTATTGGCTAATTGTTTAAAGTGATAATAGCTGAAAAATATGATTAGATGTGTAGTGGCTACAAAAAAAAAAAAAAAAAAAAATCTTAAAAATCTTAGTGCTAAATGTGAGTGATAATTAGTAAAGAAAGAAATTGAACTGATTCGCTTAATAAATGATTCGCTAAAGTTATAACACAAAGTGTATTTAATTATAAGCATTATTATTTTTAATTACAATCATATTTATTTGTTGTGATATCATTTTTTTTTTTAATCAAAAGATATTGATTTATTTATTAAAAAATTTGGAATTTCTTCAAAGATATATATTAATGATATATTTGAAAAGGAATGAAATTGTTAAAATTATTTAATTTAACACCGGCAAAAGCATTATATCCCATTGTTTTTGATTATCATTGTGACTGATTATATCATGAATATATGTTGGTTTTGAGCGTGCTAATTGTGCCCGTTCCTTAATATCATTCAATAAATAAATATAAATATCAATGGAAAAAATATTATTTTAATTAATTTTCAATAATATGGACTTTTTATCAAAATTTCCGAAATGGAAATGATTTTTTTTTTAATATGTAGGAAGTCTTTTTTCTTGTAGGTGATAAATTAAAGAGAATGATTGAGAAATATTGTGAAAAAGATTTGATACTTTTTGAATTCTTAAATTAGTAATAACTGATGTTTGAGGAGCGGTTACATTCTCGGGAATAGATTCTGATGATTTTATCGTTGCCATATTATTAGCAATTGCATACAATCAATTGCTAATATTTAAACTGAAATAAACTGCATTTTTTTCTTTTTTTTATCAATATTTAAATGATTTGATAATCTAGATGAAATAAATTTTGCATATTTAAACTATTTTATTCATTTTTAGTTATAATTACCATTGTACTGTAGCAGTATTTATGCGTATACAGCATTACATATGCATGTATATTACCACTGTCTTACTGTAGCGCCAGGTACTGTAGCACCGTATTCTCGTGGCATTGTAGATTACTGTAGCAATGTTTTACAAAAATTGTTTCATGCATTTCAAGAAAAAAAGAACATTTCAATGAAAGTTAAAGATTTGAAAATAATCAAATTTCAATTACTAATCATACAAACTTGATTCTATTCGTAATTATTCGCTATTTCATTTTTATTATTACTTTTACTGTTTATGTGTAATTATATTACATATTTTTAGTTTGAAAGTTAGCATTTTGAAATGTAGTAGCATTATGATTGTGATATTTAGAAACTTGTTTGAGTAATTAACATTTAATTATTAATTCAATGATTTGGTAGCTTTTCCTAGCACAAAATACAATTTATATTTAATTAATAAGTTTTCAATTAGTTATTACTATAGTTACATACACATAGATATATGTGTAAGCTCATAAACTTTTGGCAATTTAATGATGTCAACGGTAATTTATAAATAACTCTTTCAAATAAGTTAAAGTAAGTCTACAAGATTATAAATGAAATATTTTATGCATATACTCTTCGAGTGATTGAAATGAATAGTGTAAATTTTAATATTAGCGATAATTTATAAATATCTCTTTCAAAGTTAGCTAACTCTACGAGACTATAAATGAATTATTTGATTAAATTACTAAGCTTCTTTACTTCTTACATTTTATTTACATTTTCAATTGTTTTATTAAATCACAACAAAGAAAAAAATTCCAGTTCAAAATTTGCGAAAAATTTAACAAAAATTAACATTAAGCTAATATTGTCAACTTACTCTATTTTACCTTATTATTATTAATAATAATAATATATGAAAGTTAACAAGTTTTTTTTTTTTTTTTTTTTTAGGAAAGAAATAATTATAGTAGTAAAAATGTAATCAACATCTGACTTCTGCGCTAATTTTTTTTGATCATACAAAACCAATCGATTTATTGCAAAATTTCGTCCTTCACTACAATTCTTTTACAGTGAAAAACGAATTCTATTAATTCAGTAATTTAATGACTTAATATTATAAAATTACTCACTAACCATAATCATTATCATTATCACTATCATTTCTCACTTGCAAAAGAAGAAATTATTATCATTTTTATTATATTATTATTATTACTATTACTATTATTATTATTATTATTATTAATACTATTATTATTATAATATATGCAGGAAATTAGTAAAATGAAATATGAAAAAAAAAAACGAGGTGAAATTCTGGATGATAAATTAATTCTAATTTTTCATCCATCATATAAGAATATTTTAATATCATTTGTAAAATGAATTAAAAAAATATTTTTATACGCTTTATAATTCATATGCTTCCGTATTCATATCTGTGTGCATTTTCTTTCTTTCTTTTTCTATTATGCTAACAAAAAAAAAAAAAAAAAAAAAAAATGGAAAAGAAATCGGAATGTTTTATATTTCATAAAAAAAATTCAATAAAACAATAATAATTCACATAATCAGTGTAAAATGCATCATACATAAATATCAATCATCAATAATAGAATAGGTGAAATGTTTGATAGTTGGTGATAATAATAAGTTATAATAAAATTTTTAAATTATCATCATAAGAAGAGGAAATTATTGCAAAAAATAAAAATAAAAAGATAATAAAATGAGAGAAAATTGCAGTTAATTGACAAATATAATTTACAATAATATTTAAAATATTCAAATACAGTAATATTCAAATACAATGATAGCTTACAATGAAACACAGGTAGTATCATAATCATAATCATATCATAATCATATAAATGAGATTTGGTAGTAGAATAATAGATAGCAGAGAAAAATATTTAAGTGAAACAACTGTATGAGTCAATTTACGATGATCATCAAAGATTGCTTTCATAAATAAGGAGTAAAATTAAAATAATAATACTACCTGTCTTAATTATCTTTTTTTTTTTATCAAAGTATTAATTTAAACTAACTATTAATGATAGATGATTAATGATGATCATACATATTTCACAGGTAATTTGATAGAAATATATTCAACATCCTGCATAAATGACAATTGATAGAATTATTACCGAAATTAAAAATGCTTTTCATTCATCCAATTTTAAGTGAAACTTTTTTTTTTTTTGTGACAATCAATTGAAGTTAAGATTAAATAACTTTTGCCGAATTTTCCTATCTTCTTCTCCTCTCTATCAATTTTTTCTCTTTTTTTTTTTTTTTTCCTAAGAGAATCATTTAGAATATGAGATCTTAAGGAAAAGAAGAATTAAAAAAAAAAAAAAAAATTAAAATTAAAAAAAAAAAATGGAAAAACGTCTCTAATAAATTCTACCTAATTAGGAAAAAATTTTGTCTTCCTTTAAATAATTTTTTTTTTTGCTATTATTAAATTTTTCTTTTTGTTTTCTTTTTAAATTATAATTCATTTCAAATAGTTTTTATCTTCTTTTCCTCTCTCAATCATTTCAAATTAATCATTTTTCCACACATTTTTGTCATTTTTGAATTGAAAAAAAAAAAAAAAAAAAAACGAAATAATACAAATTGACAAATTTCATATAATAAAACAGGAAAAAATTTTTCTTTTTTATTGTAGAAAATATAGACAATGAGTGAAATTTGTCACAATTTGTAAATTTTTTATATAAATTAAAAAAAAATTGTGTAACATATAAAAAAGAAATTAGAAAAGAGAAGAGAGAGAGAGAGAGAGAGAGAGAAGGAAAAGTAATGAGGAAATAATAGACAAATTATTACATTTTTTTTGTGGAACTTTTTCTTTTTTTTTTTTTTTTTTTCTTTTTTGTAAAATTCACTGTACATTTTATTAAACAATAAAATTGTTTTATAGGAATTTGAAAAGATATGAAATAATTTCAAAAATTATAACAATCATATCATTTTAATAACTATTAAAATCCAAATTCATCCATTTTTCATAATAACATATGCAAATTTTATCTAAAAAAAAAGAAAAATAAAACTTCGTAAAAAAAATTTAAAAATTTTTCGGGCAAAAAAAAAAAAACCCTAATATTTTGACTTCAAAACTTTTTTTTTTTTTGGAAAAAAAAACTAATCTGTAGAATTTAAATGAAGAATTTTTACACATTTCATTATTTTACAGTCAATAAAATTTTTAAACCTACCCGTAAAGACAGTAATATAATTGTAAATATATAATTATAATAATAGTTTATATAATTTGAGGATAATAAAAATATGCAAAATAAAATTATATTCGATACAAAAAAAAAAAAGAGACAGAGAGAAAATAAATTATAAATTATATAATAGATGAGAAATATTAGTGATAAAAATTAAATTCATTTACTAGTATATGTCATATTGTGATATGATAAATTTATAATATATACACATATATATATTATCATCAAAATTCTATCATTATTATCTAGAAAAGATAATAATCTTTTATAATTTTTAATTCAAATAAATCATTTTACAAATAAAGATAAACTTCTAATTTTTGCTAATATATTTTGAAAATGCTAAAATAATAATTTGCTAATAATATTTGTTAATTCTATCAATCATATAAAAGAAAATTTTGCATTATGTAACATTTTAAAACTAGGAAAGTTGAAGGGAAAAAAAAACTACGAAAACTAATTAAAAATTTAAATTAATTTTAAGCAATTTATGATCACATAACCCTGCTTCTAAAGCATTATCACCATTATCATTATCATATATATATATATATATGTACTGTCATATCATTTCATATGATACAAAAATGATACAATCAAATCAAATCACCGGTTTTATAACACCTGTTTACAAAGAAAAAAATAAAAAATAAAGAGGAAAAAAAAAAAAGTAATAGTTTACAAAAAATTAAAAATTCAGTATTCGTTTAAAAAATTTGAAGAGAGAAAGAAAAAGAAAGAATTTATAGTAAATTTTTTTGATTGAAAAATTTCAATTTCAAAATTTATATTTTGTAAATTTTTAATTTTACATTAAATTTTTTGCATTTATATTTTATAAGCAATTAGCAATGCAAATGAATTTTTGTTGAAAATTTTGAGAAAAAAAAAATTCATTCAATAGATAAGTAAAAAAAAAAAAAAAAAAAAAAAAAAAGGTGTAAATAATTTTTTACTAATCTTTCGCCATTTTTTAATCAATTTTAAATTCGCATGCTAATGAGCGTGCAAGATTATCAGCATGAATAGCAAATTGAAATGGATAATCGGATGATGACAATTGCGCATCCGATTGTGAAATGATTGGTGCGCGAAATGTTGTTGATTCATTGTAATCATGAAATGAGATACCAGAATCTGGGCTATCATGATGTGAGATGATATTCATTTTTGAATTGCTAGCAGATGAAATGCTATTTGGTGTTGCTTGAACTGATAGCATAGTTTGATTGGTGATATCACTAAGAACCAATGTATGATCCATATTTTTTGCAACTTAAAAAAAAAAATTAAATCAAAATCAAATCATTTCAAAAATGATATTACAATTATAAATTAAAAATTATGTTATAAAATTAATTGAGAAAAGAAATATTACAATTTGTTCATTTAAAAGAGAAAGAAAAAAAATTAAACCTTTAAATAATAGTTAAATTAATTAAAATGTATTCATAATTATAATCAACAATAAAAAAGTATATATATACTTTTTTTTTTAAAGTACCTTTTATTATACATTAAAAGATCATTTATAATTGTGATTTTTTTATTTAAATTATAATCAAGTTTATCATATTTCAACATTAATAAAAATTAAACTTTATTATAGTAAATTATACTTTACAAGAAATGATATTATTAATGAGAATATTATTACTAACCCAATTTTTGATCTGATTCTTTCAATAATGATTTCATATTTTCAGTAGAATAATCCAAATTGAGCAATTGATCAAGATCACGATGAGCAGAAAAAAATGCTGGTGATTCAAGTGGCCAAGATGGTGGTGGTGGATGATTTATTGTCGTGTGATTCGACAATAATATTTGTGAACTTTTCGAATTAGCATTGTTAAAAGATGTCAGAAGAGCACGTTCCTGTTGTATTTTTAAATACTAAAATTTAATTTAATTTCACTAACACTGATGATAATTTTAATTATATTAAGCTTAATTTTTTCTTTTTCTTTCTTTTTTTTTTGCATATATTTTAAGCTTAAATTTAATTTCAAATAATTAATTTCCATAAATCATCAATAAATCTTGTAAATAATTTCAATTATATAATTGTGATGGATTAATGGATATAATTAAATCAATTTAAAATATACTCGATCAGGTCGTATATATGGATTTGATGCATTTGATGCTTCCGGATGAATAAATAAACAACGATCACCGTATGGACATAGACCAGCCATTGTGTATTTATCGCACAATTTTGTTTTATATTTAGGATTTTTCATTGGTAATTTGCTAAAACAAAAAAAAAATCCTATTTTTTATGGTAAAATTTTTTCAAATTTTACTTTAAACTTTCATATTTTTTTGCATTATTTATGACAAAAAATTTTAAATTTAATTTTTATGGATTAAATATGAACTGAATTTGCATTAATAATTTAATTACAATTTAATTTATTGCTAATATTAATAATAGATATATACATACTTGCATGGACGTAACTCTTCTTCACCGTGCGCAAAACGACAATTTTCCGCAAAATTACATATTCCACTTTCTAGCCATGCTTGACACATCACCTTTAGTTAGCGAAAAAAAAAAAAAAAGCATTAGAAAAAAAAAAAGGCATAAAATGATTTTAAAAAAAGATTAAAAAAATGATAAAATGATAAAAATGATGAATAATCAAGTGTCAATAAATTAAAAAATTAAATTAAATTACGAAGCGATATATATATTAATATAGATTAATAAATTAAATTAAATTAAATTATGAAAACAGTATGTAAAATTAAAAGATAAAGAAGGAATGAAGCATTCCATTGTTATAAAATTATTATAAAATACGAATAATCAATTCGTGTTTAATTAGCTTGAATAAATTATCAAAATAAAACATTATCTGCATCAACTTTTTTCTTTCTAATTATTAAATTAAATGTAAAAATAAAAAAAATAAAACCAAAAAAAAAAAGGAAAAACAAGAATTTGTTGGGATTACTCAATTTCGATTAATATAATGTAATTATTATATTAATTTATAATTTTAAAGCTTAATAAAGACTGTTACCATTTTATTTTTTTAATTTAATTTTTAATAAATATTTTAATTTTTAATTTCTTTTTCTTTGTTTAAGAGAAGTAACCTAATTAACACTTTGTTCCAATTTTTTTTTTTTTTTTTTTGTTGCTGATAAAATAACCTATTTATCTCTCATATCATATCATACTGATAAAAAAAAAGAGACATTTTTTTTTTAAATTCATCACAAATGAGAGATAAAAAAGAAATTACCGTTTTGTAACTATCCGGTTTTGGTGATTTACGAGTAAAAGGTGGTAAACGTTTCGATCGTAAATGATTAGTTTGTTGTCTGAAATATTTTAAAATTTGAAAAAAAAATTTTTTTAAATATAAAAACTTTTAAAATATGAAAATATTTTAAAATATAAAAACACTTATCACTCTGTTATTAAATCGTATAAATTGCAAAATGAAAAAAAAAAAAAAAAAAAGTAGAAATAATATTTATTAGCAAAAATTGTTTGCTATTTTTTAGCATATTTTATAAATTGATAGTAAATCAAAATCAAATTATCACTTAAAAAATTCGATGCTTAATTATCATTCAAAAAATTATCATTCAATAAAATTCGATTTTTTTGCAACATCCCAGATATGGTAATCAAAGATAAAACTTTTAATTCTAGTTTAACTTAGGAAATTCATAATTAATTTAAATGTCATATTGATTAAACTTAAAAATCAATAATAGCTATTTTTTTATTATTAATTTTTATAAATAATTATTTTTATCATTAAATTTTTTTCATTTTAATATTAATTTAACATTATTTGTTAGTTTCAATATATCCTTGAAAAGATTTGAAAAAAAAAAACAATTCTAACTTTTCATATGATGCAATATTATTTGTTATAGAATTTGTTGTATTAAAATTGTAAAAGCCAGAAATACTATTAAAATATCGAGTATCATCAGTAAGCTTTGAAGAAGTACTAGCATACCTGTAAAAATTATACTTAATTAATTAAAATTACTAATTAACAAAGAAAAAAAAATGCAATTATTATTAAAGAATACTTATGACTAAAAGATCATTCTTTTTTCATCTTTTTTATTAAAATGAAACATTTTAAATGATATCTTTTAATAAACAAAAATTGGAAATTGTAGTAAGGAATTTCAACGTTAATTTTAATTTTTTTTTTTGGTAATTAAGTCATAGAACGATAATATTACGGCGCTTGTTTACTATTATTTACTTTATTTATTTATTTTGTATGTTTTTGTTTTTCCTTCTTAATAAACATTTAAAAATGTTTTTTGAAATATTACTTATAATTTATTTATCAAAACTTCGATGATTATTAATACTTTGTTAGAAAATAATCATTACTATTCATACAGGAAATTCCAGTTCTTATTTATCATTCAAAAAAAAAAAAGCAAAAAAAAAAACAAAAAAAACAGAAAAAAAAAAGAAAAATTATATTTTAATTAAAAAAAGGATGGAGAAAGAAAGAGAGAAAACAAAGAAAAAACAAATTTTTTCAAATTTTTTTTTTCTTTTTTTTTGATAAAAACTAGAAAAAATGGCAAATTTAAAAAATAAAAACATTTTACGCAATTAGCTAATCTAATTAATATTAATCAATTAAATTAATGAATCAATCTTTTTCATTAATTTCTAGTTTTTTTATCAAAAAAAAAAAAAAATCTTTCAATTTTTTTTTTTGTTTAAATTTTCAATATTGTTATTTACATTAATTTATTCTAAATAATACATTGATTCAATTTCTTTATTTCTTTTTTTTTTTCATTGTCTTATCATTAATAGATAAATATTCATGAAAATATTATTCAAAAATAATCATAATTATACTTTTTTTTTGTGATTGTTCAAAAGTTAAATTTAATTTTTTTTTTATTAAACATATTAATATTACACTTACAAAAATACTTCCTTAAATATTTTCAATTCTTAATTTAATTCTTATCATAAAATTTATCTAAATACCTACCTTTTTTTTTTTAATTCTATCACTATCAGCTAGTGTTAATGCATAACATCGATCAACAATTAATAAGTGATATAATATTTCTTACTTAGTAAATTTTAAAATTAAATTATTTAATTAAATTACTAATTTAAAACTGAAATACATCATAATATCTACCAACAATTAATAAGTTTAAAATAAAATCTATTCTTATCATATTCTTATCACAAAAAGATATGATATTTCTTACTTAGTAAATTTTAAAATTAAATTATTTAATTAAATTACTGATTTAAATGTAGAATATATCAAGTATGGAAAATTATACTAAATTAAGTTAAAATTTATACTACAAGTTAGAGTAGAGTTTAAAATAGAAAATTAGATTAAAATTTTTAGATTGGAAAAAATAAAAATATATACTTCAACTTATAAACATTATTTAAATAATTTATAATTGATAATAATAAATTCTAAAACTTTTATTAAACGAGAGAAAAAAAAAAAAAGTGTATAAATTTCAAAAGAAAAAAGAAATCATTTATTACAAAAATTTTTATTTTTTTTTTTATAAAATTTATTAAAAAAATTCATTGATCATAGATAAACAAAATTAATTTACTTTAATGCTTCATTTCGTAAAGTTAATAATTCCACTGCTTTACGTAATATTTGATCAATATCTTGCTCAGTTGGTATCGGTGATGAGCGAACAGATGTATTGCCAGATGTAGAACTAAAATTAATTTTAAAATATTTATTAATAAAATAATTTGATAGTTTTTTTTTTTCTAAATTTTAATAATAATAATTTGAAAAAAAAATTATCATTAATTAAATTTTTAATTTATTAATATTAAAAGAATTTTTTTTTTTTTGCAAAAAATCATGTTAAAATTAAATTGAAATATTTAATTTATAAATTAAAATAAATAAAAATTAATTATAAATGTATAGAAATATTATTTACTTAATTCCAGTATTGATATTTGTTGTTGAAGCAGTTGCACTACCATATCTTGATGGTAAAAAACCAGAATCACCGCTATTTGATGGTAAACTTAAAGATGATGGTGGGCGCAAATATCCAATTGAACTAGCCGATATTCTATAAGAAAATATCATTTTAAATTTGCAAGAAAAGAAAACAAAAAAAAAAAAAAAAAAAAAAAAAAAAGAAAAATTGATTATTCTCTGATAATAATAGATAAATTTGTAAGCCAATTTTCTTTTTTTTTTTTTAAATCTATAACAAAAATTTTTTAAAAATGAAATAGTTAAAATAGTACAAAGATCGATTAATTTTGTTTCTCAAATTACCGAATGAAATTTTTAGAATTTCAGTAAATACAAAAAAAAAAAAAAAAAAAATGATTAAAAATTTAAAAATGGAATTTTTGTTTTTGTTTTTTTAAATTTTTCATAATTTTTTTTAGTAAAAAACAAATTTTTTGTAAATGAAAGAAATATAAAAATATAAATGTAAAAAAATATAATGAAGAAATGAAATTTATTAATGATTGTTTATTTTTTTTTAATACAATTCGAATGTTATATTAAATTAAATTGATCAAAAGAAAAAAAACTTGAATAATAAATAAATAAAAAAAAAAAAAGAAAAAAGAAATTTAAAATACATACTCCGGAAAACCGATGATATTATTGTGAATGGTTGACATTTTCCGGATAAAATTTGTTTGCTTCTTTTTAAATTTCAAAAAAAAAATTCTTTTTTTTTTGATTGTTGATATTGTTATTGTTGTTATTGGTGATAATATAATCAAATTCGAATATGATTTACAATTATTTACAAATAAAATAAAAATATATTTGTTATCATAAATAATTTCAGCTTTCTTCTTTTCTTTCTTTCTCTTTCTCTTTCTCTCTCTCTCTCGTTTTCTATTCTTCGTATATTTTAGCAGAGAGAAAATATCCTCCGTCTGATTTGATTTGACTATTATTTGGTTAACACCACTGAAAATATTAAAATATTTGCAAAAAAAAGAGAAAAGGAAAAAAAAAAACGATTTCAAAATTTTTAACAATTAAATTTTTCAAATTGGTTAAAATTAAATTTGCCTCATTTTAATTGCAAAAATGTAAATTTGAATTTTTTTGAAAAGAGCAACAAAAAAAAAAAAAAAAAAAATGAAATAATACAATCAAATAATAATTTGATGTGAAATAATTTTTATTTTAATAATAACACATTTATGTATATATTTTATATGTAACATTTCAATTTATAATTACGTCAATTACGTGTTCAAATAGCATAATTTACGTTTGAATATTTCAAATTAAAAATATATATATAAATTACATTTTCAAATTTAACAGATAAAAATTAGGTCGAGAAAGAAATAAATTAAAATAAAAGGAAAAGTAAATTGGTTTTTAAACTTTGATCATTTTAAAAATATTATTTGTAAAATATTAAAAGTGTTAAATGTTTATAATTATTATAAATTAAGTAAACAATTGAAACAATAGCTAATTTAAGAAATTATTAACAAAACTATTTTGATAAATAATTAATTAATGATAACAAAAAAAAAAAAAAAAAAAAAACGATAGAAAAAAGTATTTTGCTAAATAATTAAATTATTTAAACTTCGTTTTCTGGGAAATTTTTTATCAAATCAATGGGAAATTAAATATATTTTAAATGTGATTTATAACAAAGATTTTGTTTCAATAAAATTTATTTTAATTACAAATAAATTTTGCTAAATAATATTACAAGAATATATAAGTACATTTATAATAATTGAATTAAAGTATTTAAGTAAATAAATGAACAAAAGCAGACGAACAGGAAGAAAGATTAAATAGCAGTACAAATTTATCCATTACTTTAAATAAATTAGATAATTATCTATCATAAAAAATCACAATTACGTCAATTACGTGTCGTAAAAAATCGTAGTGACGTAAATTACGTATGACAAAAAAAAGAATAATTGCGCTCAAACCAAATATAAGTTGTAAAATATTTATAAAAAATCATAATTACGTCGATTACATATCATAAAAAATCATAATTACGTCAATTACGTATGATAAAAAAAAAGAACAATTGCGCCCGAATCAAATATAATTTGTAAAATATTTGATATTATTTGCATTCGTTCCAAATAATTTTTTTTTTCTCCGATTTTTAATTAACAATTAATTTAGAGGATAAAATTTTTATGGAATAATCATTAATCAATTTTAATTTAAAATTCAGTTATGAATTATTGAACATATAAAAAAAGAAAAAAGAAAACACAAATATATGTAATTTATGTGAAAATTTGTGATTATATGAAAACGAAATGAAAAAATTGATAATTAAAAATTTATTAAAAAATAAATTCATTTAATTTTATAATCTTATAAAATCATTAAATATTTATTTTATACGTCATTTTATTAAATTATTCAAATTATACTATATAATAAATTCATTGATAACTTTTTAAATATAACTAAATAATTTTTTTTTTTTTTTAAACTAATATAATTAAATTAAATTAGAAATGAATCGATAATTTAAATGAAGCAAATTTTTCTTTTTTTGTAAATATATTACAATTGTTAAATTTAATTCTTTTTTTTTAACAAATTTTTTTCTGCTATTTTTTTTTAAATTTTAAACATTAAAAAATTTTGTTATAATTACACACAGATTTACTACATATAATGTAAACTTCAAATAAGATAAACACAAACAAATTCATTTCCTAAATAATTTTAACTTTAAAATTTAAATGTAAAAAAAAAATTTATGTAATAATTTAAAACTTATCGAAATTTAATTAATTTAACTTTTCAAAAATTTGCTTTTATATCAATAATATTATACATTATATGCAAAAAATATTGCAATTATTGATGAGAAGAGAGAATAATTTTACATTTTGTAGAAAAAAAAAGTTACACGTAAATACGTAAATCACGTAAGTACACGGTAAACAAGTGAATAATTTTGTCAAAATGCTGACAACGATATATACTACCATGAATTGGAAGAGGATGAATTGCCACCATATAAACGTAAAATACAACAACCAAATGTTGATAAGATCATGAAACAGGTATGCATTTCTATAATTGTTGCAAGTAACTCTTCGCACCTTCGACAACTCTTTGAGGGGTTAACTTTTGACAACTCGTCGAAGAGTTAACCTTTGACTTCTCGACAGGGTTAACCTTCGATAGCTCTTCGAGGGGTTAACCTTAAACAACTCTTCGAGGGGTTAACCTTAAACAACTCTTCGAGGGGTTAACCTTTGACAACTCTTCAAAGGGTTAACTTTTGAGAACTCGTCGAAGAGTTAACCTTTGACTTCTCGACAGGGTTAACCTTCGATAGCTCTTCGAGGGGTTAACCTTAAACAACTCTTCGAGGGGTTAACCTTAAACAACTCTTCGAGGGGTTAACCTTTGACAACTCTTCAAAGGGTTAACTTTTGAGAACTCGTCGAAGAGTTAACCTTTGACTTCTCGACAGGGTTAACCTTCGGTAGCTCTTCGAGGAGTTAACCTTTAACAACTCTTCGAGGGGTTAACTTTTGACAACTCTTCAAAGGGTTAACTTTTGAGAACTCGTCGAAACCTTTGAATTTTCGGCAGGGTTAATCTTTGATAGCTCTTCGAGGGATTAACCTTTGACAACTTCTCAACAGGATTAACCCTTCTTGATTTCCATTATTCATTAGTCATGCTTAGTTTTATCATATATAAATATATTTTATCATATATAAACAATCATTTTTTTTTTTTTCATATATATATAAATAATTATCATATATCATATATTTTTATCATATATAAATAATTATCATATATAAATAAAATTTTATCATATATAAATAAAGTTTTATCATATACAAATAATTATTACATAATTAAAATTTATCATATATTTTACAGCTAGATAATCTATATTAAATGAAGAAAATATTCAATTTTCCATAGAAATGAAGCTAAAATGAAGTAAAATGACTTGAAAGATTTCTTTACCAGAAAATTTTCCTTCACCAGAAATCCTTCAAATCTTTCCTTCATTTTAGCTTCATTTCTCTGGAAAATTGAATATTTCCTTTATTTAATAGAGATTGTTAAATGTTATATTTTTATCACTTCCTATTGCTATCATCTGATATAAGAGCAGTAATAACTTATTTCTATTTCTGTAAAACAGATTAGTTTAAATTTAAATTTACTACTGTAAAAGCGGCAAATTAATACAATGAATAATGCGAGATATATTTGATGATAATACAAAGAAAAAAGTAAGCAAAAAAGTTTTTTTTTTTCGTTATATAGCAAATAAATTATTAAAGAATTATCATATAACTCAAAAATGATTTCATCTCTAATAGTACAAATTACAAAGCCATAAAATGGAAAAGCATAAGCATAAGAAATATGATAATTAGCATTTTGTTAATTTTATAAATTTTATCAATTACATTTGCAAAATTGTAATGCCTGCAAAGCCTATCAAATATTTGAGACCAAAATTTTGCAATTTCACTGCTCTAATTTTAATTTAAGACTTCAAAACAGTGATGTTTCACAATTTTTTATAGAAAAAAAAAGAAAAAAGAGACAAAAAAAGAAATCATAGTTTACTTTTATCAATGATCATCACTTTTTTGCTGCATGTAATCGATCATGATCGATGAATTGCCAAGAATAAAATTAATTTTTGAATCACAATGTTCATTATCATCGATATTCTCTTTGATATTTGCATAGCTCATTGCATTAATACCATCATTAACACTGATTACTTCACATGAGTCATCTGATTCACTGTAAACAAATCTGTTAGGGAACAATTGCAAATTTTTGAATGTTTTTAACTAATAAAAGTTTTTTTTTTTTCTTTTTGCTTAATAGAATAAAAAGATAAAGTGGTTGAGAAAAAATAGCTAAAAGAAATGTGAAAAAGTAAAAAATAGCCTACAAGAATTTATCATAGATAAATTAGTAACTGTTAATATCAAAAAATAATTAAAGATTTATTTAACCTTGTATCATCAGGTAAAGATAATATAGAATTCTGCATTGTATCATCAGGAGATGAAGTTACAGCTGTTTTCCAATCCGTATCATAAATTATTGCAGATGAATCCATCAAGCTAAAATGATACTTTATTAGTGATTTATCGATTATCTTCTATAACAAACCTATATAATAAAAAAATTATGAGAAGTTCCAATAAAACTCACAATTCGAGTACTATCACATACAATATTAAAACAGAAATACAAAAAATTGATAAAAAACAAAATCAATAAAAATGATCAAATTATACAAAAAAACAGAACAGTTCAATAAATTCATTTAAAAAATTATATTTTTTTATAAAATAACCAAACATAACGAACTCTTCATTATGTTCTCTATTCGATAAACTATTTTGATCAATAACAACAAAATCAGATCCTGATGATGATGTTGACAAATTTCCTTTATTGTCCAATAAATGTACCTCGATAGCTTTTTCCATATTCCAGTTTAAGGATTTCAATAATGATAAAGCTGCTTCCTTATCACGATTATTTGTTACAGCCTAAATGACTTAATTAATTGATAAATTTCACATCAATAACTGCTTATAAATGTTAATACAAAAAATATGATGTGCGCACTGAAATGAACAATCCTAAAATAGTTTTTAGAACAGATAGTAAGTTAAGAATTTCTTTATTACAAATAAAGCTTCATAATTAACTCTGGAATAAAAATTTTCAAAAATAGAACCTTGTAAGAGGAAAAGGATTAATTTACATTTCATTTCCTAATGACATTTCTGACAAATCTATCAATTATAAGCACCCTTCCTTAGAGTATATATGATCTTATGCACAATCCTTTTGCGTGCCGAAAGTCTCAAATTTCAATTGTCAGAAATGTTAGAGGGATTTTATTCTGTTAAAAATTTCATATATTTTCACAAATACATATAACACCCAACAATAAAGTTAAAAAACTCAACTGAAACTGATAAAGAAGTAATAGTAATGCAAGTAACAGTGAATTAAAAGTAATATTTAAACCATCCAACAAATATATTAAGTTTGAAAGCTTAAGGATTAATTGAATAGTGTAATTTTACAAAATGAAATAGTAAACATTTATAAAGTTAGTAAACGAAATCTGATATCTTAACGAATGGAAGTAATGAATATTGCAAAGAATCAAAAATCAAAATTTCCATTGCCCAATTTATCATTTGATAATTTAGTTAAGTTGGCAATAATTGAAATTGTTACAATGTAGCATAGAATAAGATTAACTTTTAAGGGAAAAAGAGATATACTTACCAAAAATTGACTAAGTTTCGATAATTGCCAATCTTCAAAATCAAGCAAATTTTCCATTAATATATATAAATTGAAACTGAATTAAAATTGTCCATCCTTTTCTCCTATTTCTATAATACAATGCAACAATATTATGTAGTACTATAAAAGAAAATCTTCCACTGCAATAACACAATGTATTTTTTAAATCCTTAAAAAACAAAAATAATCGTTGCTTCTGAAAAATTAGAATGAAATTTAAATTAAACTAATAAATAAACCTTTGGTATATTTGTCGAAGGATCACTCAATAAAGCACTCGAACTGATCGCTTTCACATTATTCTATTTTTTTTTTCTCCTAAATATTTTAAAGGACAAATTTATAAGCAAAATATAGCTGAGATAGCAAAAATGAAACTAGGTTATCCTCTGACACATATTATTTAAATAAACTCTCTCTCTCAAAGGCTGACAAAAATGTTTGAAGACATAAAATATGTAAATATAAGTCACTAACAGTGCTATTTTAGATTTAAAGCGAAAAATAAAGAATCAAAATGAGAATATCTTTTTTTTTTGAAAATCCACATATTCTTAATCTTCTTAATAATAAAGCTAGGCTTCAATTTCACTCAAACATAAAACAAAATCTATTTTTATTTAAAAAAGAAAAAATCCCCTTCAATTCTTATTTGATGTAAAAACAAAATCATTAGTACCGGGTGGTTCATTATCATCGATTATCTTTCCGTTCATCAATAATTCACATAAATCTAAAGATATCAACATAAAATGGATGATAAAATTTCGTTAAGAAAAGAAAGATAACATGCAAACTATTCCAAATTTCTAAAGATCATATTAATGACATAAAATGTGAAATAACCACCAACAACACTTCAATCCTTCCCGCTATATCATATAGATTTTAAGAGTTAACTTCAAATCCGAATAATACCCTCAGTTTATTTAACAAATTAATCCCAATTCTCATAACTGGGAGTTGGGATTAATTTTTTTGATACTGAGAAATAAATAAAAGTAAACCACAGGAGATCGTAGCAAGATCAACTATTGAATATGTATAACATCATAATTGTGCAAATTTATTAAACTTATTGAAATATATCAAACATAATAAACTGAATAATATCATCATATATTCCTACAGCATCATGGTAAGCTGATTCAGGAAAATATCGATTTATTATTATTTAAGTGACAACATCAAAGTAGATGTAGAAGAGTATTCCGAAAGACAACAAAGGATAAAAAACAAGAAAAGGAAAGAGTAGAGTGAAAATAATGCATAACATATTAAAGTAAAAGAATCATACAACATTGCAAAGTTTTAAACTTTTAAACTTTTAACAAAAATCTTGCATTGTACAGCGTATTTACTAAGTACCCGTTTAAGTACTTCCTGAACACTAACAAACCATTAATTAGTATAGTTTAAAATATGTTTCACAATTCCTCCTTTTTGTTCTTCCTGGAAGCCAATCCGGGATATTGTCGTCCTTCCAGCGATACTTCGCTTACTTGCGGTTGTTTTAACAAGAAATCCTTTCCTTCCCAGGCCTTCGATCCATCTGCAAACATGAAGATTGCACGATTATCGTCGATTGTAAATGTCTGAAACAAACTTTATAGCTGATAAAGTTAGGAATATCAATTATAAAGTGTTCAACTTTAAACAAAATATAGTAATCATGAAAAGCGGTTAGTTAAAAGCAAACTGATACTATAACTCTTTTAAGCATCCACAACAATTATGCTATCAATATGATACGCGATACATCTTTTTACAAATAGTACGATTGTAGCTCTCTTCAACAAATCAACCAATATACCTGCCAATTGTTCTAACAACTGAACGAACAGGTGTACATTCCTGAACCGTTAATCAAAATATATCCATTTCACTTAACTATTATGCTTCTATTTTATGCTAAGCACATTTACTTGAAGGAATTGGAAATTAAAGAAAACTTATTAATATGAAATGACCTGGACGTCGATATGATTATTGAAAAGACTGTTTCGCCATACTCCAATCCATCTTTCCGTGTAAAACTTCTCCGCTCGTTTACCATTAACGTCACCAATACCAACAAACATCATTACAGATTGTCCCTTCTTTGATAGCATCATTAACTCTTCCGGTGTTTCTGCCTGCATTCATATATAATTAGAATGTCAACCGTTGAATCAAATTTAACTCATCAAACTCTCATAAAACCGAACAGATAAGTTCTGGCAGTATTAAACAAGACTAATGAATAATGGAAATCAAGAAGGGTTACTCTGTCGAGAAATTCAACTTCTCGAAGAATTGTCAAAAGTTAACCCCTCAAAGAGTTGTCGAAGGTTAACTCCATCGAAAAATTATTGCAAAGAGTTACTTGCAACAATTATAGAAATGCATACCTGTTTCATGATCTTATCAAGATTTGGTTGTTGTATTTTACGTTTATATGGTGGCAATTCATCCTCTTCCAATTCATCGTCATCATTTTCCTCCCACTGATCGTACAATCTTTCCAGGTCGTTCTCCGTATAATCCCGAATGTCCCACAAATTTCAAAAAAAAATATTGATTACTCAAACTTTTACTTCATTTTCAATAACCTTAATTATCTATCTTTACTTGACAATTTCAACTTTTTCGAGATTTTCAAAATAACGTATTTACAAGTGTAATGTTAATACGAAAGTTCTTAGAATAAAAAAAAAATAAATGACGCAGCAAAAGTTTTTTTTAAAAAAAATCTTAAACTACTAACTTTCTTTTTCTCTTTTTGTTCCATACAGTTTACATAAACGTTATCAATTATCATCAATGCAATAAACCAAAATCGCATCACAAACATTGCAAATTAATTCCGCACGTGAAAATCACAACAAATTTACACTTCCGAACAAAAAAAAAAAGAAACTCGTAACAAGGAAATTACGGCCCGCGTGAATCTCCGTCATTTCCAATGAAAATACGTGTTAAATACGTCTTGTAGGGATTTTTTGTTCTGTAGATAATTGATGGATTTTAATTTAATCTGTTTAAAAATTCATATCGCTTATATTGATACACTCACGTGTACTCACGTCAACAAATATACGCTTAATGTCAATCAATTGATTTACACTTCTTATCATTAAATTATATATATTAGTTTGAATCAAAAAAAAAAAAAAAAAAGAGAGAAAATTGCATTAATTAAAACAAAATAATTGTTAAAATAATACTTGCTTTTATAGAAAAAAACTTATTTACTTAATTAATTAATTAATTTTTTTTATTTACTTATTGCTATTTATCTATTCTTTATTCTTTTATTCATTTATTTATTCCATTATGATAGCAAATGATTGTAATATTATCAAAAATATAATAATATTATTCCATTCATTTCATATAAATTTTTATCTTTTCTTTTTTTTTTCTTCATTGTTTCATCAAATTTAAATTTTAATAATATGAATTAATTAATTATTTACATTATGCTAATATTAAATATTGTTGATATTGTACATAATAGAATTGTATAGAATAATAAATTAGTAAGAAATGAAATAAAAATGAGAAATGGAAAAAAAAAAACAATTTGGAAAAAATACAAATTAAAAATAATAATATATATTACATTTAATTTGACAGCCCGTTAAACTATTCGATGAATTGAAAAAAGTTAATAATTATTAAAAAGAATCATTGGCTTATTTTATTTTAATTTTGTTATTTATGTCTAAAAGTTAAGACAACAAAAATAAATACATCAATTAAATTAAACTTAATACAAAATTTTCAAATTGACAAATTGATCAGTTTAAAATAAAAAAAAAAAAAAAAAAACTTATAATTTTTCATTCAAAATTAAAATAATTTATTAATTATTAAAATATAAAAACTTTTCCCTCTTTTGTCAACAAAATTAACAAATTTTTTATTTCATTCTTTGATATAATGAATTTTTCCTGCAATTTTTGACACTTTTATATTTTATAATAAAATTTTCCTTCGTTTTCAATTTATTGAAATTTATGTTATTTTATCTTTTGTTTTTCTTCTTTCTTTCCTTCGTTTCTTTTCTTTTTTTGTTTTGTTTTGTTTTCTGGTTTCAAATGTACTTTTGTTAGCTTAAAACATTTACAATAATATCTAAAGTATTAGCAATCGTTCTGTCATCCTTCTGATATGTTGCAAACAATTATCATTTGCATTTATCAAAATGCAAGTTTTATAAAATATTTAAATTTACTTAGAAAAAAAAAAATTTCAATTTTTTTTGTCATTTTTCATTTGTTATTTTCAATGATATATTTAATCCTTTTCTTTGCATATCCTAAACTTAACTTTTATTTTGTTATTTTTCTAGATTTATATAACAAAAAAGAAAAAAAAAAAAAAAACATTATGCTAAACTTTTTATATTGAAGTAGAAAGTATAAAGTAAACAAATCTTTCTCAAAAGGTTTTATAATTTAAAAAACATTTAAGAAAAATGTTTTTTTTTTTTTCGATTGCTTTATACTTTTAGCAAAATTTTAGTGAAAAACAATCAATAAAAGTTAGCATTTATTGCTTTCTTTTTCTTTTTGTTGTGAATCATTTTGTTCTTTTAGCTTTTCAGAAAAAACTATTCAAAGAGAGGTATTCACTATTCACTGATTCATATTTTCAGACATTTAAAGTGTATTGACTAATAGAAGGTTTGTTAATATATAAGGTATGATGACATGCCCGGTTTATTTATCAATTTACATGTATCACGTAACGATAGTGTCGAGTTCTGCATGTGTCACGTAACAATGCTATCGAGTTTTGCATGTATCACTTAACAATGCTATCGTGTTTTGCATGTATCACTTAACAATGCTATCGAGTTTTGCATGTATCACGTAACAATGCTATCGAGTTTTGCATGTATCACTTAACAATGCTATCGAGTTTTGCATGTATCACTTAACAATGCTATCGAGTTTTGCATGTATCACTTAACAATGCTATCGAGTTTTGCATGTATCACTTAACAATGCTATCGAGTTTTGCATGTATCACGTAACAATGCTATCGAGTTTTGCATGTATCACTTAACAATGCTATCGAGTTTTGCATGTATCACGTAACGATAGTGTCGAGTTTTGCATGTATCACGTAACAATGCTATCGAGTTTTGCATGTATCACGTAACAATGCTATCGAGTTTTGCATGTATCACTTAACAATGCTATCGAGTTTTGCATGTATCACTTAACAATGCTATCGAGTTTTGCATGTGTCACGTAACAATGCTATCGAGTTTTGCATGTATCACGTAACAATGCTATCGAGTTTTGCATGTATCACTTAACAATGCTATCGAGTTCTGCATGTGTCACGTAACAATGCTATCGAGTTTTGCATGTATCACGTAACGATAATATCGAGTTTTGTATGTGTCACGTAATGGATGACACAGTGAACACTTCAAAAGTGTAAGGCATATTACATATTTGTGAAATAGCTGTGGTAAGGTAATGTTTTGGAAATTTCTTTTCACTTTTTTTTTTTTTTTTTTTCAATTATATGGAAAATCTAAAGTTATAGTCAAAGTTTATTAATGATCTTTTCTTTTTCATTCTATCAGTATTATTTTTTGTGATCTTTAAATTGGATTGCATATTGGATTAAGTTTCGATGTACTGTTCGATTTCTTTTTTTTTTTAATTTCAAAGCAAACTTACTTATTCTGGTTATAACTATGTTATACTATGTAAATATTTGCATAGAAGTGAATTTCCTAAAATGTAAAAAAAAATTTTAACATTAAACTTTAAAGAATTTAAGTGCTTTTTTTTCTTTCTTCCAAATGATTTAAAAATTTTGAAAAATGAATGCCAATTATTTGTCATATTTAACATTTTCACTGCAATAAACAATAAATTATTTATCTATTTAAATAATTTTATAAATTATTTCTGCTTCAAAATAAAAAGGTAAAATTTTATGATAATTAGAATTAATATGCCTATTGCAAGATTTCGTTGTTTATATTATAGAATAAAATATGAATTATTAAATTAAGATTAACTTTTTTTCCTTTTTTTTTTTTCTGATATTATTTAATTTAGTTTTTGTTTTTGTTTATCTTTTGCTCTTCCTTTATCGTTGTCTTTTTATTTCAGAAGGAATGCTTTAATCTATGCAATATTTGTGCTAAATTTTTTAAATTTTAACTTCAATTTTTTCAATTATTTATATAAAATTATTGCTATTTAACATTTATCAAAAAAAAAAAAACGAAGATTACATATTTGCTTTTTTTTTTTTTTAAAAAAAAAAGGTTTGAACGAAAAAGGTGAAATTTACATAGCAAAACAAACAAACACTATCATAAGTTTTATATTTAAAATGATAAAAATTTATGATTAAAAAAAAATAAAGCGATAAATAAATAATAAAATGCAACAGCAAAATATCAAATAAACTTTGAAAGTAAATATCAATAATTTGAAATATGCTATGATTTCACGTTTTTTTTTCCTTCATTTTATTATTTTATATAATAATACATGAAGAAAAACCAATTCAACAAAGAATTAAATTTTTTAACTTTCTCAGATATTTCATTATTTAATATTTATTTTTTCTTCTATTTTTATTTTATAAAATTATTTAAAAAAAAAAAAAAAAATAAATAAATATTTGAAATAGAAATGATAATCTAAGCTCTTTTGCTTTATCATTTATTCATTTTTTTATTCACTCCCTCCTTCCTTCATACCTTTCTAATCTATTCATTTCTTTTCATTTTCCTTCTTTACTTTTTAACTTTCTTGTCAATCAATAAAGTAAGTATAAGTAAACCTTATTGTTTGCTAAATGCTAAAGCATACAATTAAAATATGCTATAAATTTTAATCATTATTAGTTTAACAGTGATACAGTAATAATAATATTTCGTATTGCATATCAATTTGAAATATTTCATAATTTGATAATTTAATTAATTTAATTAATAATAAATTAAAGATTTTAATTTCTTGCTAAATTGTCTGCTGTTTCTTTTTTTTTTTCAAATTAATTTATCTAAATTATTAATTTTTGCATATAAAATATATCATTACTTATTATTTCATTAGCTTTTTTACTTACTTTATTGTAAAAAAATTATTTAAAAAAAAATTACATTAAAAAAAAAAATTTTTAAAAAAATTATATTTATCATTTTTGACTTTTTTTTGTCATATCATATGGATATCTTATATATAATATTATTATCACTTTATCAATGATCTATTCCATCTCCATCTTCTTATTTGTTAAATTTTCATTCTCTCTCCTCTTCTCTTCGTCAATTAAATTCATCAATGAATTTTCCTCTTCAAATTTTAATTCAATTATCAATTCGTTTTTTTTTTTTCCTGAACTATCCATTTGTTATCAACAGAAATAATATGATTCAAATATTTGAAATAATAATTTTTGAAATTTAATTTAATTTCAAAAAATTTTCCTTTCATTAAGAGAACACTAAACTTAAGCAATTCTTTTTTAATTCAAATTTTTTTCTTCCATTCCATCATCTATTTAATATTTTTTAAATTAAATTACATCTTTGCTTTTTTAAGTAAAAAAAAAAAAATTGATAAAAATTTAAAAAATTTTCTTTCTACTTTCTTACTTTTTAATTATAAGCAAATATTTTTTTTTTTTTTTGTTATTTTTCTTTAATTAATCTATTTTTTTTTTTAAAAAAAAAAACTGACTATGAATATATTTAAATATATTCAAATATGATAAGATTTCATATTTTAATTTTTAAATTTTTTTTTTTAAAAATGTAAAAAACTGGATTTTTTTTAAATTTTGTATCAATTTAAA